AAACGAGAACATATAAGTAGTAAAAAACAGTTATAAAACGGGTGCGAAAGAATCAAACAGATTTGACGAGAAACAAACTAATCTAGTCTAATACTAAAAAAACAGAGGTAATGAAGGAAGCCTATAATTACTCTCTTAGGGCACAGCGGCGATGCGAAACGAAGGTGTCGCCTAAGATCTCCTGTGTGCCTAAAATGTCCCGCCCCTGTTTGCAAAATAAATTGATTAGAAAAAAATTCTAAAGGAGACTGATGACTTTGAAACTGGAAACGACAATTGGAAATTGGTGGTGCAAAAATTAAGGTGAACGAGAAACGGTTTTTTGTTTGTTTTTTTTTTTTTTTTTTTTTTTTTTTTTTTTTTTTGGTTTTTTGTTTCAATATAACATAAAAACTTTGTACAAAAGCTGTTTTCCAAATCAACGGGACATTTAATTACCTCCGTAAGATCCCAAGTAACGTAAGGACAAAAGTGATTCTGGTAAGCAACAACCAAGGGGTACTAGAATTGAAAAAGAAGAAAAATCCGAGTTGATAAAAAGAAAGAAGCTTTTAAAAATTTGGAAAAAGTATGCATGGAGGACTCAAATTACGACTGGAAGGGGGCCGAAACATCGAAAAATCCCTGTGAAGGGTGTCCCAAGACAGCCAAGAACAAACGTCTTTAGGATATATAGGGAATATGATCTCCCCGACTGCTTAGGCAGGTTCACAAGGGGCGTCTGAAGGTTTTTTCGGCACAGCGCTGCCCCTGGCTGAGAATGATGGTGTGTTCCAAAATGAGATGGGGTGAGGCAATTTGCCCTTGGTTTGTCGGTGCCCATGGGAAAACGGGAGGAAGACAAAGTATAGGAGAGAAGAAGGAGGGAGGAGAACGTCTTTCAACTGCTTCCCATGTTCGCAGCCTCCGGAATCGTTTACTTTACTGGTGGTAAGGTACGCAGTACGAGCTGCCCAAACGTCCCCTGGCCTTATGAAAATGAAAAAATACTGTCCCTCAATACGATATAGGATAGACAGGGCCTTTACTGATGAGGAATTGAGATGATCCGATTATCTGCCGGGGGCCGCGAATCCAATAACGTTTTCAATAAATCCTAGCCTCACTCCCTCTAAGAAGGCAAGATCGAGCTGTTTATGCGCAGCTACTTGTTGCCTGTGGCGATGGGGACAGATGGGGAATGGTCAATGTTGTCAAATGTCCATAAAGAAGACAAACAGAGAACTGCGGGACCCATAGGTGCCCTCTAAAAAGACGCACATATGTGAAGAAGAAATCATGTGTTACAATACCGGGGTCCCGTTTTTGAATGAACCTGCGTGGGGGGTCCGAAATGGTGAAGGTCTGTAGCGACTACCAAGCCATGATAAACCACTCCGTCCCGAAACACTCTTCAAGATCCTTCAAACTAGAAACAACCGCCAGCCACGCCGAAAGAACGGGAAAAGAGAGGGAAAAGAGAAGGGAAAAGAAAATAAAAAATGCACACACCCGGCAAAGGGGGGGGGAGGGGGGGGCAAGGGAGGGGGAGAGAAGGCATTGAGACCGCCACCGGGGCCCTAGAGGGAGAGGGGCCGGGTTGGCTCCCCTCATTGGGCAACCTGTCCTCCTGTTCAATGATTTCGAGAGGGATGATTGGCGAGCTTTTTTTCCCCGCTCCTCCCAACTTCCGCTGCTCCGCGTTTCCAGATGAGTATGCGGATGATAATCGCCTACTATCGACTGAATCTGCTCCTCATCGTAAAGAGTTCTTACTCGTTCCCCCATTTTCCATGTGTCTCTCTCTCTCCAATGTTGCCGGTTTATGTTCCGCCCGGTGTTCCCGAATTTTCCCAGTCATTCCCGGTGTTCTCGCGGGAAGGAGGCAGCCCAGAAGACAAACAAAAAAAAAGATAAAGGCGCCCCTTTCTATCATCTCCTCAACGATGGGCAAGTAAAGAGAGCGTTAGAGGATACAAAACCAAACCCCAAAAAAAAAGCTGGATACGGGCCGTCCGTGTCAAACGACCAAACCCCCACACGTGCAGATGAAAAAAAAAAGTCCCTATCCATGGCACGGTAAAAACGGTGATACAATCGATCCTTTCCAGGTCCCTGTGTCCGTGTGTCTAGACGCGGTGAATGTTTTTTTGGGTCCTCGAGGTTTCTCGCGATCGCTTGTGCCTGGCCCGCCCTGTGTTCTTCTGGGCTGTTTAAGGACAAATTAGTAACATATAATTAAATACAACTCGGTCATCTTGCGGGATCTGCGGGTTGCTTCCTCGTGGAACGACCACTACTAAACCCAAAACCTAAACTAGACTAAATCTACTAGAAGAAAACACTTATAAACACCCCGAATAGCTTGTTTCCTGTAGTTTGAAAAATGTCTTCCAAAGTCCGTGAAAGACGATGATGTGAGCACTTCCGAACCTCTGCCAGCCAAGCTTGTTTGGTCCCGCACCCCTGCGGTGGGGCGCCTGGCGGCCCTTCCGCCCTCCACCCTCCAACTTTTTTTCCCATGATTCGACCTTCGATTCGACCTCCTACATTTTAATTTGCCTTTCGACCTCGGGTAAAACCAGTATCCACATGTCGTCCCCTAAAAAAAACCAACAGATTGATTATTTTTATTTTTTCGCACCCTTTTTCCTTCTCTATTTCTCTCTTTATCTTCTTCCTCCCTCCTTTTTCCCTTCGCTGAGGCAGCCAACTCAGCGTGATTTTAAAAATTTTTAAAATTAAAAATAATTTAAAAACTTTTAAACTGCTATAAAAATTAACGAATAAAAAAAAAAAAACTAATTAAATTAAAACATTTAAAACATTAAAAAAAAAAAAAAAATTTTAAAAATAAAAATTTAAAAAAAAAAAAAAATAACTGCTCGATATAAAACGGGCGTGCAAACTCTCTTTGCCAAAATCTGATCTTAAATAAACTGATCTTACACCGACACCATGCTATCAATTAATTTATACTATTCAGACACAGGAACACCCCATTACTCCTACCTTGTATATCTGCCAAACATGTTCTATATACCGTACAATACACCTTAACTTAATCTTTAATCATCCTGATTGGTCTTTTTTTTTCTGTCGTCCGCCCTCGCTGGGCCCTCTCTCTTTCGTTCAGTCAGGCTGATATAATACTAATTTTTTTTCTTTTTAATTTTTTTTTATAACTAATGTTTTTCTCTTCGTTCAGCTGATATACTAATTTTTCGACTTCATCCTTAATTTTTGCACACCAGTGTATATGGGTGTAATAAGAGCCTTAGAGAAGGTGAGAGAGCCCTGCATATAGGTTACATTATTGCCTAGTAGTATTATCATTGTTCAAACCTCAGTAATCGTTGTCGAATTTCTTCTTTTAACCGAAACCAGCTGTTGATTAAGTTACGTTTTCAGTAATAGAATTTTCCGCATGTGCTTTCAGCGCTATAAGTGGCTTAATGTTTCATAAATTCTCAGTTAGTGGACTGCTATATCAAGAGGTTATTGCTAACACTGTTCTGTAGAACATATGATTAAGGAATCTAGCATTTCCAGCAGAATTATGCTTACCAAAGGTGAATCATCAAAATGAGTAGTATGTTAGGAAAGTATCAATATTCAAAGTTATTATTCAAAACTGAAAGAACTGGGTGTATTTCCAATACTTTTAAGCAAGAAGAATGATTATTATTTGCCATACCATTACTTATTGACTATCTTATTAATAACGGATTAATATTTATAATTTGTATAGAGAACAAAGGGTGTTCTAATTCTCAATATTCCATCAAAAATTTGATTTTTTGTTGTTGTTTCCAAATATAAGGAATAATATAAGTCCTATTCTTCCCCACCCTAAAAAAAAATTTTAATTGCTGATTTAAATTTTTGAAAATTTGGGGTGTTTAAATTGTTTCTGCTCTTTTTAAATAATTAATTTTTTCTTCTTTCCTTCTGTTTAAAAAAAAAAAAAAAAAATAAAAATTGTTTTTCTTTCCCTTCTTCTTTTCTTTTTCTTCTTTCTTCTTCTTTTTTCTGCTCTTTTGTAATTTAAAAAAATAAAATTAAAAAATCGAATTTTAATAAAATCAATTTTTAATATTTTATTTAATAAATCGAGTGTTTTTTTTTTTTTTTTTTAATATTTTTTATTTTTATCTATGATTCATCCCTGAACAATAGTCTTAAGAGACTGTGCCACAGAGTTTTAGTACTGAAAAAATATTTTGCAAGGAATTATTAGGCTTATTTATTAATTTTCATAAATACTTGCTGATTAAAAATAAAAGTTTTTATAGTTAAATTTTTTATGTCTAGTATTTCGTGGAGATTTCCCGCCCTATTTTAAAAAAAAAATTATTTTTAACAAAAAAAATAAAAAATTTAAATTTAAAAAAATAAAAAAAAAAACCCCTATTGTTTAATTTTAAAATTTTTTTTTAAAAAAAAATAATAAAAAAAAAAAAATTTTTAATTTTATTATTTTAATTAAATTTTAAAAAAAAAAAAAAAAAAAAAAAATAAAAAAACCCGAATGTAACAGTTTCAATTGCTATTTTAATTTTGCTTATTTAATTTTTTTAATTGATTATGCAAAATATTGCAGATTTCTGATTAAATTTGATGTGGGCGGGGGGAACTTATAAAAGTAAGTATAAAAAACGCAAAAAATACTTTGGAACTTACTTTTAATTTACCTTTTTGGAAAGTGTTTAGCCTCCTAAAAAACCTACCTAGCTCTAGTCTTTAAAAGCCTCCTAAAAAAGTGTTTTAGCTCTACGTTCTACCGTTTTAAAAAAATAACATGTTTTATGTGAGAATTATGACTAATATCTAATATTCAAATAGGCCAATTCTCCAAAATTCTGTAAATTAATTAAAATTTGGAACAAAAAATATTTTATTTTTAATTTTTAAAACTAATTATTTAAACACCCTCCCTATGGTACTTTCCAAGATTTATACTTTCCTAATAAAACTGTTCTCCAGTTATTAGAAAACTAATAAAGTTTCTTTTCTTATAGATGGATTCTCATAAAGAAGAACTTGATAATCATTATCAGCCGCCCTTGTGTAATACAGGGTAATTTTATAGGAAAATAACATAAATAATAATACAACAATTTACAGATCTACAGGTAGAAGATTAGGTGATAAAGAATATGTACATAGAATTTAATTATCACACTAGTAATATACTTATAGATTATGTCAGTCAGTTTAATTATTCAGTGTAATTATAAGTATAATTCAGTAAAACTCTGAAAACGAGTAAATGTAAGGCGCTAAAATGACGACTATCAATAAAGAAGATGCAATATGAAATCTCTTCTCATTTATAGAAAAGAATAATATAGGACAGAAAGGGCAAATATCTGGGGAATATTATCAAAAGTTTGTTATGTTGGTAATACATATTGAATCATCAAGACAGTTTTATTTTGTTGTGTGGGTTAAGGTTGGTTAAATATCTTGGGAAAAAAGAAGAACTATGTGGAAGCCTTATATTTAACTTCCTACACTTTCACATATCTGATAATATTATGATAATGAAACATCATTTTATTTTTATTTTTTTAAGTATACATTTCTCATCTTTTTCTGTCTTTTCTCTGCCAGCAACTGCTATTTTTATTATTTTCTAAAATATAACTATTTTGTTAATTTCCATAGTTTTTATATTGTTCTACAACACTGTTGCAGATAATAAAAATACAGAGAATTATTTAATTAACATTCAACTTTAAAAAATTTAAAAAAAAAACCAATAAAATTAACATTAAAAAATTAAAGACCAGGAGATTTATAAATATCATCCCGATCTTTAAAAACATTTTCAACATACTAAACAACTTTGGTGTGCAGAATTCCAGATGTTCCGTGGCAAGAAAGATATGGTAAGATTTAGAAGGTAAATTAAAATGTAAAAAGGTAATAAAATGAATACAATTGTTTATTTTTCCTTATCATTTATTTTCTTTTTATATTATTTTTCTTTTTATTTCTATCATTTATTTTCATTTATTTTATGTTTCTATAGGTATTTTTATTTTCCTTTAAATAAATCAAATAACGAAATCTATTAATGGAGTCTAATTAATTTTTTAAAGTAAAAAAGTAAATATTTTGTTTAAGCACCCAGTCTCTATATTGCAACAAAAAAAAAAAAAAAAAAAAAAAAAAAAAAAAAAAAAAAAAAAAAAAAAAAAAAAAAAAAAAAAAAAAAAAGAGTTTTTAAAAAGAAAAAACTTTTTGCACTTCTGTTTATTCTGATTTTTTTTTTTAATTTTTTTATTAAAATCTCCCCCCTCTCTTTTTTTTTTATTCCAATTTTTTGACCTGCAATATTTTAAGCAGCTTCAGTAGTAAATTAATTATCAGCAGGTAAATATTAAAATAAAATAAATTAAAAAAAATGCATTCCTAGGCAGGTCCACAAATCAATAGTAAATAATTTATATTTACACGCTAATAATTGTGAGATTTGTATTCTAATGCATATATTATTATTTATTTATTTAATATTTTAAAAAAAATAAAAAATTTTGCTTTTAAATTCTAAATGCCACTTCCCTCCTCTTCAATTTCCGTGAAGGAACAAACAGAGAAAAAAGCTGCTAACCTCCTTCATTTTTTCTTTTTCTTTCGTTTTCCTTTGCTTTTTCTTCTTCCCTGACTCTCACAGGCGCTGTTATAGCTCCTTTCCCGATCCTACCCTCCTTCCCCGTTTTCCCGCGCCTTTCCGCTCCCGCTCCTTGGGCTCCACCTCTTTTTCCCCACCCCTTCCCACCAGCCCCCTTACGCCATTGCAGGCTCCGCGTCCTCGGCGCGCCGGGAAGAAAAGTCTTGTAGCATAGATTGTGCCCGACAGTGTGGGCGACGGACGTGTTTGCGACTGGCTCGCCTTGAATGACTGAGAATTTGGTCATCTCCCCCCCCTCCCCCCCCCCTTCGTGTCTCCCCCTTATTCCTCCGCCCGTCCTCCCCCTCCCCTTCTCCCCTCCTCCCCTTCCCCTTCGCCCTATTCCCCTTCGGGCTTCCCGGTGCCCCTGTTCGGGTGGCGGCTTCCCCCCTTCTCCTCCCCCCCTTTTGCCCTTTGGAGGACTCTAGGTAACACGTTTTTGTTTTTGTTTCAAACAGTGCAAGAAACAGAAAGAACAGAGCAATGGGCAAGGCAGAGTCTCACTATTTTTAGGGACGGAACCAGATTAGTGTTACGAGGAGATGAAACCAATGACACAAAACGTTAAAAAAATGCATACAAAGGGGGATAATATTTGTGGCAAACGAATGAATTTTGAAAAAAAGTGATACGTCGCAGTTTAAGAAGTGAATTCGATGGCAAAAATGCCGTTTTCGGGGTAAAAAAAAAGCCATTTTCTGGCCTAGAAACTAAAACAAAAGAGGCCCCATTTTGTTCGGTCCCCACACCCAATAAAGACAAAAAAAAAAAAAAAAAAGGATATCAAAAAGAAACAATGGGAAAAATATATAAAATAGAACTAAATCTAAAAAAATATGAAAAATTTTTCAAATTGTTATGTTTACGTCTAAAAGGGCTTGTACTGTTAACGGGGCGGGGGCTCTGTAGGTCCTAAATGGGAGGGCTTTTTTTTTTTAATTAACAACGGTTTTTGTGTGTTACCAATTAACCTTTTTTTTAATATATTTATTAAAATATCATGTTCTTTGCAACTTTAAAAGCCTTAAAAGAATAATTAAACCCATAAAAATTTTTTAATTCAAAAACAGCAATATCAACAAAACATTTAAAAAAGAAAGAAATTTTAAAAAAGACATCCTTATCTTGAAAAGAAGAATGGAGATGTAAGATGGGGTGGGGAATTTTAGAGTTGGGGTTATGTTAAAAAATTTTGTTTTTTTGTGGTTTTTTTTTTTCAGATTCTTTAGTTTTAATTGGGTGGGGGTCCCCCCAAAGTGAATGAACAAATCTCAAAATCAAAGGTGCACCTTTTGGGGAGGAAACAATTTTTTTTTTGGTTTGTTGTGTTTTTGTTTGTTTATTTTTGAAAATTTTATTTTTTTTTTTTTTATTCGTACAGTATTATCGCCATTAGCTTGTAGTGAGCTCGCATGTAAAAGAATTATTTGAAAAACATCATCCTTCGAGTGTTTTTTCTTAATCGAAAGCTCATAAAGGCCTTTACAAACAAAAGTATGGCAATCTCGTACATATAGGGGATAAATAAGAGTCTGTCATGTGTGTGTGTGTGTCGTTGTTCGTTCGTTCCAGCAGCTGTGCTTAGCGCTAATATAACCACGGGCTACGAAATTTTGGTTCAACAAATAGGATGCATCTAGACAAAACGACGCAGTGCCCCCGCGAAGCGATTTTTTTTTTTTTTTTTCGGAAATTCGAATTCGACAATATTTTTTTTAAATTTTAGTAGTTTTTTGGTGTGACGAATCGCGTCAATTTTTGAGACATAATGTGGCTATAGAAAGCGAGATTTTTGTTAAAAGCGTACCTACTAATATTAGGAAAAGTAAAATTTCCTAGTATTAACTCTACGACACGGGATCCATTTTTTTCAGGAGAAAGGGAGAGGGAGTAATAACGAAAGGAGAGAAAAGAGGGACCCATTTTCACATCCGTCCACGAAAGACCGTAATGGACTTAGCTATTTTACTTTTACGAACTTAAAAATCAAATTTCGATGTTTTCGTTTTCAAAATAATCGATTAATACTAAATACGAATTAGTTAACAAAACAAAAAAGCGGGGGAAAGTAAGCTTAATATGGGTAAACCAGACTAACACACCTTTTCAAAAGTTTCAAGGGAAATTTTTTTTTTCTAAAAAAGTTTTTATTTTTTAAAATGTAACACAGTTTATTGTTTTTTCTTTATTGAGAATTTTTGGGTCGGGCGAGGGCGAAAAAAAAAAAAGGGGAGGGGGGTTTACACTTTCATAACCTTTGGCGACTGGGGGGTGGGGGGGGGAGCTTTGATTTTTTTATTAAAAAATACAAAAAAGCAATTTTTTGAAAATGCAATCAAGATTGGGGTGGTTTTGGTACTTTATTTTTTTTAACACCGAAACTTTTTTAAACAATAAATGGGCAAAACGAGGAAGGCTGATCCTAGTTGGGGGGGGGGGGGTACATAGTTCTTCACAAGAGCAAAAAAAAAGGGAAAAAGGAAAAGGGGGGGGAAAGGATCTTTCCCCCTGTGCTAGTTGTGGGTGTATATATATAATTAATTGGGGTTTTGGCCCCGGCAACTTTTTAACGCTCTATGGGTTTCAGTACCGGTGTCTCCCCCCTTCAATCCCCAATCATTCGGCCACTCGTGTCGGGTCTTCGCTTCCATTGTTTGTTGCTTTTTTGCTCTGGGGAGGGATATAAAAAGATTTTTTGAATGAAATCGCATCATTTTTGACAATAGTTTTCATTAAATCAATTTTTCATATGAGTTTTTCAATTCTTTTAGAAATATGGGTTTTGCAACAATTTCCATCGTATTTCTTACAATAAAGTCACTTTGTGTTAAGAATAAGAAAAAAGAGATTTTTAGTGCATATTTTCATTTGTCATATATATATATATAATGGGGGGGGGGAAGGGGGGGGGGGAAAGGGGAAAGATATATAAATATAATAAAGGCACCCATTGTTAATAATTAGATTTTTTTAATTGTTTGGGGTTTTGATAAAGTTTGTTTTCCGTGAGAGTAAAATTAATTTCTGCCGCCGATGAATTTTTATTTGTTTTTGGGGGAAATTTAGGTTTTTTTTTTGGGGGGGGGGGTGTTGTAGTGCTTTCCCCACATTTATTTAAATTAAGAAAAATTAAAAATAAATTTTTTTTTTTTTTTTTTCTTCCCATGTTATTTTGTTTTTTTTTTTTTTTTTTTTGATTATTTTTTTTTTTTTTTTTTCCGTTCATGTTTATTGTTTGTTTGCTTATTTATTTAAAAAAAAAAAAATTATTGTCGACTGTTTGTAGAGATATTGAAAAGTTTTGCACATGATTTTTTTTTCTTAAAATGAAAACGGAAAGTTTTTCGAAGTTAAGTGTGGTTTTTTTACTGTTTTTTTACACTATGATAATTAATATTTGTAATAAGGATATGGCTTACTTAAATCTTCACATTGTAATGTCTTTTTTTTGTTCTCTCCCAAAAAATCTTGAAATATTGGGAAAGGATAAAATTATGATTAATTATACTTTCTTGGAGCTTTTGCCTTTTTCCAGAATTTTTTTTGTTTTTTTTTTTTTATTTTTTTTTTTTATTTTTTTTTTTTTTTTTGATTTTTGGGTGGGTTTTTTTTTTTTATGTTTTATTTTTACGTTATTTACGTTTATTTATTTTTTACTGCTCATTGGGGCATAAGTTCGAATCCTTTGAATGGGGGGGGTTCAATTGTTTTTTTATTTAAACCCTGGGGTGCTTTTACTGCATCATTAGCATAAATAAAAAAAAAGAAAGGGTATTAAAAGGTTTGGTTTGCTTCCAAACAAGCGTGTTTTTAATTTAAAAATATTATTAAAATTGTTTTATCTTTTAAAAACTCGTCTCGGGGGTTTTTTTACCAACTCTTGAAAAATTTTGAGGTTGATTTTTTTTTGTAGGAAACAAATGAAGATTTTCTTAAAAACAACAAAACCAAAACCTAAAACAAAAACCACGACCCAAAACAAACAAGAAAACCCTCCTTTATAATTATAAACTAAATAAAAATACGGTATTGGGGGGTTAATATTTTTATATTTAACAAACCTCCTTTATATTAATATATTTTAATTACATTAATATATAGCATTTAATAATAAAATTTATAGCATCCCTTTATTTTATTAATGGTGTAATATATTAATATATAATAACATAAAGATTTTATGGCCAATGTGGTGATAATATATTATAATTTAATAATATATACTATATTAATATATTTAATATATATTATTAATATATATATATTTATATACCATTAAAAAAAATGAAGTTCAAAAAAAATTAAGGATTTTGCAAGAGGGAAAGTGTTTGGTTTAATAATAATTATTTATTAGAATAATTAATACTGTATGAATGGGTATATTGCTTTATTTTATTGTAATCTTGTTATAAAACGTTTATAAAAAGCTATTTTTTTTTATGAGTTGTAATCCTGCAGAGTGGGAAATTTTCCGCAGGTTTGTTTAAATTTTCGTTTGGTGTTTCTCCAAGTTCACCCATTTTTTTCTGGTACACAGATTTAAAAAGCCAGACGGAAGGCTTGGGAGCGAGCTGGCTAGAAATAATAACGACAAATATAAAAATGTCGCGAATAAGTTGGGTGGATATTTCACAAATTTTGGGTTATTCCTCCTTACCAGAGGTCCATATTAACGAATGCATACCATTTTAAAGTGTAAATATCCCGTTGGCGTGGGTGCCACTTAAAAACCATACATAGGGGGAAATTCCAGTTCCAAATAGCAATATCGCAAATAGTTTTAATGAGCATATGTTTTATTTTAGAATTTCCCGATACAGAGAGCTCGCTCTCTAGATAAAAAAAAAAAGTTTTTGTTTCTCCGTGGGGTTTCTTCTCTACACAACGTTACGTTTGGCGCATTGCCTCGCTAATTGGGAAATTTCCTTGAGTTTGTTAATCAGCAAACTTCGTTAAAGTTGATTTCACAAAATAAATAAAATGAAAGTGCGATAAATAAAACAAAAAAAAATTCCAAATTTTTGTGGGGCTTTTAGAAAGAATGGGCTTCCCACATGTGGGCCCATATTCGTAGGAGGAGTTACGGTCCTTTCAAACTTGGCGATGGCTTTATGTCTATCGGGGTTGTTTTAATCACAATAGGGGGGGGGGAGCAAAAATATAATAGTACAAATTTATGGAATTGCAGATTGGGTTTCTTTATTAAGGAGTTTACATTTCTTTAAATAAATATAAGTACAACCAAAAAACGGCAATGAATGTATTTGATGGCACCAAGGGGGGGGAAAAAGTTAAACGGAAAAGGGTAACGAGGTGCCACAAAAATGTTGGGGGGGGGGGGGAAATGACCAAACCGCACGAAGTTATAATAATCGGGCCTTATAGTCCTACGCCCCCATTTTGGGCTAAAACAAACTCTTTTTTGCTATAAAACTTTTTTTTTACCAGTGGTTTTGTGGTAAAATTAAATACTTTTTTTTAATACTTTTAAATACTTTTTTACGGATAATACTTTTTACGGGGGGGGGATAAATAAAAATAGTATTCAAGTTAAGAAAACAAAAAAATTTCGAATATTTTCAAATGCTAATTTACCCATTAGTTGTTTGTTCGAACAAAAGGTGGTAATTTTTCAAGTTTGAGGTATCTTAGCACTGCTTTGTTTGACTATATTATTTCATCCCTTCAAATGTCCTATCCGTTTACATTTTTTATTATGTCATTACTTGAATATCAAAAGTGTAATGTTTGCATTGTACTGTATTTAATATACATCTTAATAAATAACGCTTTTCGTTCCAATCATAATTTGAGAAATAGGCGTATTAGCTTTCAAAATAAATTAATCTCAGCTGTTATTGACCTGATCATGTTTCTGATGTTGAAATATTAGTTGATTTTCGTATATTTCAATATGTTAACATTTTATTAGGTAATGTATAATTTAATACTGAAGTTTTATATTTAGTAAATTGGTTGATAAAAGCGATGGTAGAAGAGCCCTACTGCAGTGCAAAGAATATCTTCCAGCTTTCCCCACTATTTTAGAAAAATATAAGTTCCATTTAGTAAGTTGATTATTTTAATGTTACATCTTAGGATCTAAAGTGTCAACAGCAAATTTAAAAATATTACTGTATTTTATGAATCCAATCAGTATGAGAAGTTCTTTATTAATAAATATTTTCGTGCATTTTAAATTTTCATACTTACGATTTTTATTATTGTGATTTCATGGGTTAATATACCTATTATTTACTTTTCAGTTTCATTACTTTTCAGTTTTAATTACATGTATTTTACTTTTACTTTTCAGAAAAGTAATATTTCACTCTACAGTAATTAGTAGTCATAATCACCAGAACTATCAAAAATTATAATCTTTCCCAAATTCTAGTGAGCTTATCCAGATACTTATAGGTTTACCCACAGTCCTTTATTTCCCATTTTCTAATTTATTTTCCTTTATTTTTAGTCCTTTAAACGCTTAGAAAAGAATGTTTCATCGTATGATGATAATCATCTATTTCTGTATGCATTTATTTCTTTCAGATAATTAAAAAGTTTAGTACTTAAAGATATTCTCTTTTGTATCTGATCTAGTTTTGTGTAACTTCATGATATTCTTCATAACTTCAGACGATATGCATTTTCATTTATTGTAAAAATTGGTATATTTATGGCGTTGTAAAATGTAAGTTTCCATTCCTCCTTTATTTCTTTTCTATGCTTTATTATTATTATTCTTTGGCTCTTTTTTCGATGCACATATATTGTGAAAATATTTCAGGTTTTTCTTATTTGCATTTCATGGTTTTCTTAAACAGCATTTACACTTTCATCCATAATCTTAACGGTTCGGGATACAAATTGTGATGCAATCAAATGGTCTTATAAAATTTTAACAGATAAAAGACTACAGAAATTTTAGTATTAAAATATCCACTGGAATAAATATTGCTAATTCATGTGTTTATTTTGTTGACATCGAGAATCCTTTCGAGTAAGATTTAGGGTATTTTTTCTCTCCTTACTGCACTTGGGAAGTCCGATGAGAACATTCTTATTTTTCATGGTTTCTCTTTCAAAAAAAAAAAAAAAAAAAAAAAAAAAAAAAAAAAACCATGATTCTTCAAGATGTTAGATTTGTGATAAGTTTCTGATTAAATCTGCTGTTAGTCTTTGGAAGAAACTAAGAATGAGGCCCGTAATCATTAAACATTTGATGATGTGCGTACAAAATTTGTTACTATTGAAGATACGTGCTGGCTGTCTTGAACTACCCTGAAAAAAAATCATTATCAAAAAATATTATTTTTCGACATCATCTGAAGTTCTAGTTACAATGAGTTATTTCTTGGATGAACATTTTGAACTTGATGTGATCTTACACACTGATAATAAAGATTACTTCCAGGAAGACTGAATGTAGCCAATGTAGAGCTCCCATATCAATCTTTAGATTTTGTGGGGGGGAGGGGCTTATGGGGATATCTGATACGGAAAGTTCTCTAGCAGAAAGCGGCAAATATAGTGCAACTGCGAGTTTCTATCGTAACGTTTGTAGGAGTACTTATAGGGACTTTACATACTTATAGGGAGTACTTAGGTTATTTGGAAGCAGAAGAGATGGAAAAGGAGGAACTCCCTCCCCGGGAACCGAACCACGGACCTCTGGAACACGCGCCTAGCGTGCTGACCACTACACTACGAAGGCATGCTAAGAAGGCGGGAGAAATACCTTATATACTGACCGAAAAATTATAAAGTTATCGCAAACATGAGTGGGGTTCATACTAAATATATACTAAGAGTTTTGGGAATACTGAACGCATACTGCATGCTGACTATACATTACAATGAGTAATTTGTTATTAACATTTTTGTGAAATTTTGGGTATTAAAAATTCCATAAGCATGACATTCACGTGCCCATCTCTAATAAAAGGAAATATTTACGAATGGGGCAGCACATGTCTAAAATAAATATTTCAGAAAATACATGTATGACTTTTTCCTTCTACAGTTCTTCCCTTTATTATTAGCGTAAATAAACACCACTTCCTTTCTGCACCTACGAAAGGATGTGTGAGTTAGTTTTTTCATATTATCCCTATGTCTTATTTTGAATTATCAGACCTGGTCAGGTTTCTATGGCCTTGATAAGGGAAAAAAAAGTTCAGTAATCATCGTGAACTGGAAAGCTTCCCCAAGACTTTTTTTCGGGAAGTTGGGGAAGCTTTTCTTGAGAATTATTACTTAATGTTAAAGGAATGTTTTTAAATACAAATTGCACAAGAATTATCTGGATCTAAAACTGAGAACTTTGCACATAAAAAAAAACAAAACCTTAGTTTACTGTCTGTAAAGGAGCAATAGGCGTGATAAAACAAATTTCTAGAATGGCACGGATGATTTTACTGATTATTTCAAAAGTAAAAGCAGAGATTTGTAGTTTTTGATATTTTATAGACTTCTTAGCAAATGGATCGCTCCAAATGGCGAATGTTCTGGCTGCATTGGTCATGATCTTTTCTGCTTATCGCCTAGTTTTACGTTTTTCCTGGATAAGCTGTAGAGACATTAGGATTTTTTTTCAGGCAGACAAGATGAAAAATTAGCAACGCTTTCGCCGGGAATCGAACCACGGACCTCTGGAATACGCGCCCAGCTTGCGACCACCACACCACGAAGGCATGTCAAGAAGGCGGGAGAAATACCTTATAAAGCAATGATATGTGGCTGCATTCTAAGCCTTTGTTTGTAGAGACATTAGGATTTTTTGAGAAGCAGGAAAGATGAAAAATATGCAACGCCTTCGCTGGGAATCGAACCACGGACCTCTGCCTCTGGAACATTCGCCTTAGCGTGCAGACCAGCACACCACGAAGGCAAGCCAAGAAGGCGGGAAAAATACCTTATATACCCCCTTTTAAAGGGTGACTGGGGTTCTTAGGGGACCCAGTCACCAAATCCTGGGTGAGGAGAATCATCATCCGACACCCTTTTAGTTCGGGCGCCACTGCAGAGACATTAGGTATTTTCTGGAAGCAGGAAAGATGAAAAATAAGCAACGCCTTCGCCGGGATTTCGAACTACGAAGCTCTGGAATACGCGCCCAGCGTACAGACCACTACACCACGAAGGCACGCTAAGGAAGCGGGAGAAATACCTTATACGTTTACTAGGGAAATAAATCACTTAAGTCTTATGACCTTAAATTTTAGGAAATATGCAAGGTTCTTATGCTAATTAACAAGTTATTATGATTTTGACCTTTATTTTAACTTCTTTCAGTATTACTCACTAGATTGAAAATTAGCTTTAAATGTATTTAAACTAGGAGTTTGTAATTTGAGAGACAGAGAGCTTCTGGCATTCACGTAGCTTTATTAGACTTTTGCTAACTCTTTCTAAAAGATATTATCCTAACTTTTACATTCTCTGACAGCCGCTTGCTTTAAACTTACTCGCCAGTAAAGTTAATTGAGACATCTTATGGCTTAGTTTATTGTCTGTGTAGTCGTATACTACTGTTATGAACTGCTGAATTTAAGTGTCTGTTACTGATTAAATTACATCGCCACAAGTTGTGGTTTATTTGTAGCTCAAATCGTGCTTTTTCTGTTAAAGGTTCAATTTAATAAAATGGTTGTTTAAACATTCGCAAATCTTTGCTATACTATTTCAGACTTATAGATAACTAGCTACTTGTCTCATAAGATTGTAGGATTTAAATCCAAATATCAGCTCAGTTACAACCTTACAGATCATTGCCTTCCATGGGATAATGTTGAAGGAAGTTTAGAAAAGACGTAACCTTTGTCGTTTGTGTTCGGCTTTTATGAATAAGAATTTAAATCATCGTAAATGCAGTTTAGAATAATCAAGAGGAATTCCAGCGATGGAATGAACATTGGTTATTGAGCTACACAACTTCTGCGTAATTTCCTAAAAGGCATGCTACAATTACTCTGAGTTGTTTTATCACCTTAAAACAAAATTATATTTTTATCGTCTTCTATGATTATTAGCGGGAGGAACATGTGTATAGTATCTTCTATAATCAACGTTAATCACTAACCAGTTTCTTTTTTCCGTCATATTATGACAAAAAATAAGCATATTTTAGATAAACATTTTTATGAAGAAATTCATTATATAAACCCAAATCAGCAGTCAGAACTATTACAAGTGTTGAATTTATTGATTTATGCTAATTTTTATTTTCATCGTAAAAAGCACATTTTTTCCCCCTAAAACTGGCTTTTTTTTTTTTCGAACAAGTAAGCGAACAGAAAAGAACACTTTACAAAAATAGATGTCGGAATTTAAAATGTTTTATTGTTATTACATATCTTATTCCAAAGAAGAATTATTAATATCATGGACGAAGGATTATTAATATCAAGTTCACAAAAGTTCCGAATTTGCGTTAGATTATCTATACTTTCCGTTTCTTCATCACTGGAGAAGTCAGACAACAAACTGTCATTACTTCCAGAATCATTTAGTGAAATTTCAGATTCACTATCTGAGTCAATATTAGAGTTATCTTCAGTTATAAGCTGCTCATTACCAATCATTTCTTCTTTTATTTTAGCTCCAAATTTAAAAGAAATAGTATTCGCAGTAACCGGAACATCGAGCTAGTGAAAAGAAATTTCGCGCCTTTACTTGCGTAAAAGAATTCAGTAAAACCTAACCTTGAAACCAGTTGTTTTGCAATTATAACTTTACTGGATTACTAGCGCCATCTGTTAGAAACATTACACACTAAACAAGCAAAAAATTCGGGCAAATCAGTGTACTAGACTAGAAACAATGTTGCCCGAGCGCCGCTCGGGAAAATAAAAAAAGTGCCATTTCCAAGTACCCGAACGGCGTTCGGGCAAAGTCGGATTATGAGATGGACAACACGCACGCTAGATATGTCAGAAGTTAATTTAAATAATCTGTGTACTTGGTATTAATATTTTAGAAGACACTAGAGAAGCCATCTGATCAGATCTTGAAAAATTCTTCGTTTAGTTTTGACTTCTCCTTGCCGATCAGCTTCTTTCACATTTCTTCTGCCACGTTTAAATTTTTTGGACCATTTGACTATGGCTAGATGCGACATTACAATTGTCTCTTACACCGCATTAACTTAAAGATGAATCTTCGATATACGTAATAAATTTGTTCTCGCACTTCTGTCGTGGAGTAAGTTTTAAATTTATGCGTCATTTTGTACCCACGCCACAATGTATTTCTTATCGCTATTACAACAAAATTTCCTCATTAGGAGAGGCGTAGATGTGATCACTACTCCGCTCATGTATCACTCACATTCTACTTTACTACCAAATGTTGGCGACATTTATAACTTACTTTTCGAATCCTGTACTTAGTACCGACTTCAAACTGTAGTTATATAAAAAATTACCATATTTCAGTGTAACGCATTGATTGTATTAATGATAAATAGTTTTTCTTTTGTACATTAAAATAGATCAGAAGGTGGAACATACTTTTTCTTTGTTATTAAGCTCAGAACTGCCGAAAAATAGATTCCAGGAATATCCGCAAATACTCTGTAAGCAATAAACTCTATTAAACCCTATACTTCCTGCAAAGAGTTCTATAACTTTTATAGTATAGGATTTCGCTGTTTACCAAGACATTGCATGGCATCCCAGTTATATTCGATAACGTTGCCATGTGATGGCTTATGAGGCGAAGTAAGTTCCGAAATTCAAACGGATGTTCTTCTGACTGTAATCTGGCTTTTCTAGACTTGTGTTGCTGCCCTGTTAGAAGAGGCCAAAGCCATCAAAATGAACGCAAGGCATGAAAAACTATAACTTTTCGGAAAGGCTGAGCACATAATTTTCAATTGTCAGCAACACTTGCAGGTGTATGAAGAGATCCACTGAATGCTAGATAAATAAACCCTATACCATTACGAATGCCCCACCTATTCTACTGCCTCTTACTAATCCGTGAGATCCAAAGATTAATGGGAGCTTTCTATACCTACAGATTCTTCCATGCACGAGGAACATTTGGAAATGTGATGGGTCAGATCAGACTACTCGTTCTCAACCGTCAGATGTCACCACCGTTCGAATGGTCAAGCCTGAGCAAACTGCATAGCCCTATGTCGTACATTCATCAGTGATAATTAAATTTGAAGTTGGTTGATAATGTAGGGAATGTTCCATAATTCTCACACTGTTGTTTGTTGAGACTACAGCATTGAATTTCTTTTGGCAGCATTGTATCTCTTTCGCTTGACATGATTCTTACCAGCTAATTCTAACTTTTGAACCGGATTTTTTTCACGAACCCTCGGTTATCGTAGGTTAAAAATTTTGTCGGAATTATTGCACGCTTGAAAGAATGTCTTCTTCAAATACATTCTCAAGTAGTCACATGCGAAAATCCGACATTGTCTTCACCTCTAAAGCATCATGAGCCATATCAGGAACTCTGATTATTAGATCACATTTAAAAATCGTTTAAATCATAATTGCATATTATTTTCAGGTCAGAAAAAGCTTTAGAAGTTTCTATAGATATCTATAACTGAAAAAAGCAACCATTGACGTACATAGAAAAAAAAAATATATTACTATACGTTCTTCCCAGTCTTTATTTTTTTTGGGGGGGGGGTTGCAGTTTAAGTATTTGTGGTAGTTTGAAATGAAAAATGTTCAAAATAGAAATCAAGTTTTGTAATTTGAATAGTCGTGATGATAAAATTGCTAGATACATTTTTTTAAAAGTCACTAACAATTTTCTTGTTTTGTTTCAGGATATAACATTGCAACTAACCTTTATAATTGGAAACCTTGTTTCAGAAGATGAAAATGTAGCTCTATCTTTCGTGTTTTCGCAAAGCTTTTGTGATATTTTAATTCATATTTTAAAAGTCTACGTTAAAGAGCATCTTCAAGTAAGTCCTCCATTCAGACTTTTATAGATGCTTAAAACTATAAATTTTTAACTCATGTGTCGTTATTGGTACGATACATAAAAGTCAATTACTAGAAGAATTTTGGAGGGGATTCTACCATAATTATAGCAAATTGCAGTTACATGATTATATAGCAAATTATAGCTAATTACATAATTACTCGTATATAGCAAGTTACAGTTACAAACGATAACATATTTGCTTTCTTTATTTTCCACTGTATCTTAATATACATAAAACATAATTATTTTTAGATTTATATTTATGAAAATAAACATTTCAATTAAAGTTACTGTTCTCATGTTCACACTGGTATGTATTAAATTTTCATACTTATATTTACTTACTGAAAAAAAAAAAAGTACTGAAACTATATTTTTGAGTGATGAAACAAAATAAGCACATGCATAATGACGAGTAGTGTAAGTTTTATATTTTATTTATTACACGTATGTGTATAAATACTGTCGTAACTTTGTATTAAATGCTGTTAGTTTTAGAGGTCCTAAAAATTTCCTAAATAACCAGACCAGAAGAAGAGCAAAACATGAAATGCAGTTTCAAACCGATAGTAATTTTATAGTTGAATAAGTTCGTAGCTACAGGGTGTTCGGGATAAATTTGACAGTTCTTATGGAAAAAAAAAATCCTCTTGTATGAGTAGTAGCGGTCTTCATTGAGTGCAAGCTTCATAGTAGAGGCTGCAACATTCATTTCACGTGACAAAGCCCGAATTCCAATGCCAGGGTTCTTCAACACCTGCTCCTGCAGATTTGTGAGGAATTCTGCTGTACGAACGCAATCAGATCGTCTGCTAGGGATCTTTCTTCTTGCTACATCTTCGTAGTCACCATTGCAAGTCTCTATTTCATGCCTGATTGTTTTTACTGTGTTCAGGGAGCATTGGGCAGCAGTCATAATATCCTTATTTTGATGGCCGGCACGAATCATCCGGATGGAAGTTATTCTCTTCCATGATTCAGGTGGGTTCCAGTCATCCATCCTTTCTGACATCTTGTATATGAATGAAGAAGGGTCCAAACTTTTAAATGACGAGTAGTGTGTGTCAATACCATAAATATGTCAAATTTATCCCGAACACCCTGTATATGCAGCTCAAGGCGGTAAACATTTATCGTCAAATCCCTATGTTTTAGACTTTGGAAAAGCCATTTTCACTTTCTCAAAGTATATAAGCAAAGTTTTCAAGTTTTATTGAATACAAAATAATCCCATTATTTAATTATATGATGCAAAGAATATAATGTGAAGATAAGAGGGAAAAACAGTGGGATGTGAAGGAGACAAATGTCAGACAAATGTCAGTGAAAAATACCTTTACTAAAAAAAACAGATCAATCGAAGAATTTTACGTGAAAATATTCCACATACATTAACGAAATTATTTTCAGAATAATTTTTATGTAGAACTCTTTGTCTTAAACTGTGCAATGGGATTAATATCGCTATTAGCAAGATACAAAAAGTGCCAAATTTAAAGTTTGTTAGCAGAAAATTTCTGTGTTTTTAAACTTCTTATTACAATCGTTTTATTTTTAAAGACAGAAAATTTTCTAAAGGGACTATTTTTAAGTACCTTATTTCTATCTGCCGCCGATGTAGACAAACTTGTTCACTGCACGGAGTGGAAACAAGCTAGATATCGCGTGGAACTCGATGTCTAAAAGTTGTAAATAAAAAAAATATATATATATTTGCATATATTAATCAAAATTAATTTTAAAAACTAATCTACACCGAAAATGAAAATTTATCTAAAACGAAAAATTGTCTGAAATTTACGATCCGCGTTTATTATTCAAAAAGTAAGAGATCTCCGAATCCTTATTACAAACTGCTACATAACTTCACTAATCAAATTAATTTATTTCTTCAAACTAATTATGTTATCAATTTGGGCATTTTTGTTAAAAGTTTTATTAATGTAATAAGAAATTACTCTTAAATTCACCACACTGAATTTTTTTAAAACTATATTTGTTTATTTTAATCCGAAAATGAGAAGGAAATGTATGCGTTTGTAAATTATCCAAATTCTACGCTATTACGAAACAATAAAGCAATTAAATATGGTAAGACACCACAAATCAGTGTATGAAAAGTATATCAGGTACAGGTAGATTATCATTATTCAATCAATGAATGAAAATAAGTTATGCGTAATATAAAAGAGGCAAATGGCTTTGTAGAGCCATAAACAATAAATAAAATAAATAAATGCAAATATTTATATAAAAATTTACCACAACGCCCTTTGCTTAAGGACTACATGTCGCGGGCCGAGCAGTTCTCAAAACTTTCTTTACCACAAATAAACAGCAAGTGCGTTTGTGCGGTTCCTAATGTTAATTAGCCAATTATTATGATTTTGATCTTTATTTTAGCTTCTTCCTTCTACGTTCCTCACCAGACTGCAAATTAGCTTTAAGTGTATTTAAGCTGAGGGTTTTGGACCTTAGAGAGAGAGCTTTTGGCACACACGTAGCTCTGTTAGACTTTTGTCACCTCTATCTAAATCTCGGTTTTTGCAATCTGTGGCAGTCGAGTGCTTTAAACTTATCCGCCGGTAAAGTAGGTGGAATTAGCTTAGTTTGTTCCCTGTGAAGTCTGAGACTACTTCTGAATATACCAAAGTGTTTGCAGGTCAGGCATTGCTTTGCTTATCTTTAATTTTAAGCATGGGCTTCTGCAGCTACGGTGGTGGAATAAATAATTCATATGGAAGCATAAATGACATGACGCCGCGTTCTTGAACTGCTCCCCCTTCAGTCTCATTGTGGGTATATGCGCAGAGATCTCACCCTATGGTACTGATTGAATCTTAAGTGATGCAAAGTCATTCTACCTCATCACTGGAAGTTATGGTATGCGATGCGAATGGAAACGAGTCTCGCTCGCATGTATACATATCTGGCACTCTGACCAATCAGTGACACATTGCAGGCATGTTAATGCCTTCGGAAATATCGTAAAACCACCTTCCAATATAGGACAGTGCATGACCGCACGTCGCACTTAATGCCCCGCACTTCCTCGACATACAGGTACAGGTAGAAGTGAAAAGGATAGTCATTTTCAAATATTCTCCTAGTTACAAAGTTGTCTGAAGTCTAAGTGCTGCTACAGAGTCCCCATCGACGCCGCAAAATTTGATGCTGTTTTAAGTCGCCTTATAAGTACAGTTTAACCATTACTATATGCTCACCAAACATATCCCAGATGACGAAACCCTTAACATACATTAGGTAAGAAATTGTTATAAATATCTGTAAATATGTTAATTCTTTTTATTGCATATTTTATTTTCTAAATTATTGTAATATTTTGTATTGTTTTACTTTATAATAGTAATTTTATGGTGTACTTTGTGTTTAATGTAATTACTTCAATAAGTTCATTATCGGGCCTTTTCCCGCATAATAAATTGAAAATAAGAACTTTTCTTAAAATGAACTCCGTCAAATCCTCGAAACTGCCTTGGTATTTACTATACAATTCTGATTCTAGCTTCGCACGATCCTTAACAACTGGAAATGCTTTCAGTAATGTCGACTTGAGATTTTCCCAGCTGTACGATTCCGATCCTGGGTCCCCCAACAAGAACTTTCCAATGCCTTTATATCCGCTGAGGTCTTGACCTTTTAAGGCTGCAGTAGCAATGGTCACTTTTTGCAGCTGGTTCACAGGATGCAAAGTGAAATGTAGGTCCAGTTGCTCCAGGAATGTCAGAACTGAGCCCTTGCCGTCAAATGTTACTGCTGGCTTCATAGAGCCCGCATCACTTCCAAAATAAATCCGAATCCTTCCATTGGATTCGTGGACGTTTGAAGGACCTGAAAGGTCGGAGGGTCAACGTAAACTTCCCGGACTCTAACGCCATGGTCCGTTAACAACTTTTAGGACGCCAATTGTAGAGTTCCCCACTTGTAAATGCTACGTTACAGTTGAGCGGGAAGAATCTTAAGAACTGATAAGCGAATAATCGCTTGAGTTCGTGTGACAAGAAACAACAAGATGGAAGGGTAAATAACCCTTATTATTCAAATAAGATTTAACAGAACTCTGTCTTGGAATGTACAATAAAGGCCGATGCTTGGGCTTGAACTTAAGAAGCTAAGAAGTAAACTAACACTAAACTAAACTACAGAGATATAGCGAAGCTATCAAAGTTCTAATGGAGTTGGCTCCTTAAACACGAGATGACTGCGAAGCTGTCAAGGGCCTGAGTACGGCCGAGCGTAATAACAGTTTTGAGAGAGAGTAGTCAAAAAGGCGGACGCGCACTAATCAGAAACTCTGATTCTTTCTAACTCAGCAAGTAGAACTTCGCGGTTAAATACCGCTCCTCCTCGTTATATATTCAGACGTGATTCTATGGCCGGAAGTAGTAAGTTGAAATTAAGAATTTGACAGGGAAGAAAGAAGTTTAACGTCTATTTTTCTAATAAATACCTGCATATGTGAGATTATTATTCAAAGAAACAGCAACAATCCCGCGGCTCGTAATAAACGGTGTCAGAATTTGCGATTTCTTTGAATGTCGATGACTAAGAGGATCGAAAAACAACTGAAAGCCATAAAGGAAATGACTGCTGCCACCCAGAAAGAGACTGCCGCGAATGCGGTCGAGATAAAGAAATCTATCGATGGACATGCCGTTAAACTGAAAAGACAAACGAAGACTTGGAAGATGGATGCAAATGCTGCAAAAACGAAAACCTTCATCGAACTCTCCTGAGATGAGGAAGGAAGTTAAAGTTGTTGTACGCTGGTAATTCGACTCGGAAATGGGGAAACCTAGCGAAATAACTGCATTGATATGTTTTCATAGTTTTCCCATATCTAAAGGAAATATGGTATAGTTTCCCTTAGAAAGTCCTCTACGAAGTATTTCCTTCCTTTAAGCTGATAGCCCTAGAGTGCTTTGCCATAATGTAAATAATAATCGTTGAGATATACGAGACAGGATTCATATGACAGTAACCTCAATACTGTCTCCATAGAATACTGTCTTCAAGCATATCACATTACCAAGGGCATAATTTAGTCTCTCACAATCTTTTACTTTTTGTATAGGCAAAGGAGGAGAATGCTGTTTCCATTATTTCTAGTAAAATTGATATTAAGATTTCGTATTTTCTGAAAATTTTCCAAGCATCAATAACCTAAAGCTCTCTGATTCTTAAATTATTTCCGAACTTCCAATGTCTGTTTACAGATTTACAAATCTTACAAGGTAATAAAGTAATTAACTAATACTATAATTGACTACAGATTCGTGCAAATTACATGATAAGCAAAATTTGCGTTAAAAGTAAATAAATAAATAAAATAGACATATACCATTTTACAATAAAAATAAATAAATAAGAGTAGAAAAATAGATAACTATATAAAATAAAATATAGAAAAAAACTGACATTAACATGAAGGTTTACAACAACAAGAATATTTTTATGGCTTCAGTTGTTATTTTTCCAATTAAAAAAAAATTATAGATGTGCTTTTAGAATAATGTGTGAGATTTATTTGTTATGTGATCAGTCTGTTTATAGTACTGAAAATAGCCACAGGTTCAATTGAATTTAATATCTTTTGTTATTCTTAAAGAACTTAACTTACTATTGCTTGCATTCCATTTCTTGCATTATAATGTGTTGTTTCAATCTGTTATATGATTTCTATTCTAGGTATCTTCATCTGATTCTACTGAAAGTAAGATGTTTTTATCGTGCGGGGACCGTAATTGGCGTGATGATATATTGGAAGCAATCTTAAAGGTGCAAAAAGCATTATTTATTTAACGCTATTTTGAGGGTTTTTAAATTCTCTCTGTATTGCATGTTGCAGATATTACTATTTAGTTTAAATATTTCTTGTGTTTGTAATAATTATTTACAGAAGATTTCATTAATTTTTATCTACAACATTTTCATTGCACATTAAGTTACGTTTAATAATAGGGTACTTGCAGCAACTGCAAATCAATGTAAATTATTAGATGTTTAATTATGAGTATCTTACTTCAATATTTAATTCAAGTAAGATACTTATAATTAAACATAATCATGTAATAAATTAATATAAAATTTATTACCGAAACTGTTTTTATAATTACTAGGTTATTAATATCTGTGTGGTAAGAAGCGTTAGACTTTCAAATATCGCCAAAACTAGGAAAAATATTATGGTAAATTAATTATTTACAGATTTAAGTTATTCAATGCAGATACTAACTATAAAATCTGAATAGTTATCGTATTGAGAAACGGATTAGTTTCGACTTTAAAGAATATTGTTCTGAAATGCCTAGCTGCGGTAAGATAGCTTCCTCGCAAAGCGGGGTTAGGGTTGTGAGATAGTGGCAAGGAAAGGGTTGACAGATTTGGCGTGAAATTGTGCATTTGGAGACAAAATTGGGGATATGCCATAGACGGAACAAGAACATTCTGGCATTCTTAGCGGTTTTTCCGAGAGTATTCTAGAAGGTAGTTTAAAGCTATATATACCCTGACTGTATGCATAGTAGGAGTATCTTGAATTCAGTAGTGTAGTAGTAGTAGTGTCTTGAGTTCAGAGATTAACTTGGGAGCAATCGACGGGATCGCTCTCAAGTTATTCTCTGTATGAGTCGGGATCTGTACTTTAGTGCTTTGCCGTGAAGCTGTCTTCACCGTTATATATATATAACCACCGTTATATATATATAACCACCGTTATATATATATTATTATAGCCTGAAGGCTGTGTTGTTGATTGTCTCAACATGTTTATCGTAGTCTTTCCACGACTGTAAACGTGTCTTTGGAACGGTCCTGTGTAATAGTGCTTACTGACGAATAAACTGTGTTTTGATTCTTTATCAAGTGTTATCAATTACTCCAAATCCACATAACCGTAGAACGCAACAATATGTATAAGTTTAAAATAACATATTAGCACTTCACTCTCAGCATAGTAAGAAATGAAAGCAAATGGAGCCATTTATTTCTTTTGAAGTAGTCGTTCGATAACCAATAGTCAAGAAAAAAGTTTAATTTTTTATTAAAGCGGTGAGATAGGATTAGGATTAGGAACGGGGAAGACGAGCACCACACCTTTACCATTTGGTTAATTGGGTTTAGCGGTTTGGTTAATTGGTCTCCCCACTACGTGATCCCAGCCGTTTATTGAATGAGTACATAAATTACATAATACACAATGAATACATAATACATAATAATAATACATAATAGGCTATTTGTAAAGTTATTAAGATCCTCTGTTGTTTCACATGATTGAAGCTGTGGTACCATACTGGAGAGGTATCCTCGTATACTCTCTGTAAATATTTGAATTTTCTTGCCAGGCAACTTATATCTTTTGATTATTAACGGCAGATGAAACATGTGTGATTTGGAAAGTTATATATTTATGATCTGAAAGACTATATTCATCAGGGACTGTCCATTCTTGAATATATGGTGCTAAGGATTGATTCGATATTGTTAAGTCAGGCCATCCATATTGCAAAACTACGGTCAAAAGAAGGAGAAGCGTCTGTGCTATTGTAAATTATAATGCTTTTTGAGGCGATATAGTCTTCCAATTGGTGACCTTTAGTATATGTTGTATGTAACTCCAAATGGTATTGTGGGCATTGAAATCACCGACAATAAGCTGATGAAGTTAAAATTTCAGAACCTAGAATGGAATCTAAAAATTGTATATTTCCATCAAGTGAAGCAGTAGGTGGTGAGTAAATTGAAATTAGAGCAATTGAAAGCTTAGTTATTCCTGGGAAAACCGCTACATGATCTCTTTCTACCTTCAAGATTGACGAGGTCCAGTCAAAGTTACAAATAACTATGACAGCACGCGGAGGTTGCTCTAAATTTGCTTATTGGAAGATACTCCATTGCAGTGGCAGACCAACTATTAAGGGTCCTGAAGTAAACGGTCCTGAAGAAATATATCAGCTTGATAATTGAAAAGGAAATGAATGCCATGGGCAGTTGCAGCTGTAGCATTTTGTAAGTTTACTCGCAGGCATTTTATTTTATTGCGAAAATTTGCTTGTATAATACTTATAGTTATTGGGTTCATATTGTATTTGATCAGAGATGAGATAACGAGATCATAAAATTTATTTTTATAAGGTAAAAGTAACAACGTAAATAAAAAAATAATAAAAATTTAATTAAAATCAAAAGCTGCCAGCATAGCTGAATTAGCCATTAAGTAAAGGAATCATTAAGCACAGCATGAAGGAAAGGCGGCATCACAAAAAGTGCTTAGGTATTCAGGAAAGAAGGCAACGCAAAAATTTTCCTGATTCTGTCGGTCCCACCATGGAATTTAAGATGCCACTAAATTAAGGCCAAGAAAGAAAGAATGGGAAGGGAGGGACTGGCGTAAAACATAGAGAGCACCGGAATCTTTAAGTGCTTAGGGTTTCTTCAGACGAATGCTTTGTGATGATAAAATTTTGGGTTTAAGGCGCAAAAGTCATTAACTCCGTGCACATCTGTGTAACAGAGTTTAAGTTGTAGTCAATCAGGAAGGTAAAGTCATGTATGCGTAAATGTGCAGCTGGCTTAGCGAAACAGTCCACCGAATGTTGGTTCTTCCACTAAATGTGCATGAAGTCGAAAAGTCGTAGAAAATTTAGATATTAAGAAAATTCTGCAATTTGTTTTCCTTCTTTAGAAATTTTTATGGTCAGATGAGTATAGCCTTGACTCAAATCCTGTATAATTGAAATTCGAGGCTATGCGAGAAACGTATTTTCTGCTGTTCTATCATATTATCGAACGCACAACTTTGGTTGGTAGCGTACCAAAATGCCTTAAAAAAATTGCTTTTGATAACATTTTGATAAGTACAATTAGAAACTCGCAGATCATCAAAAAATTTTAAATCGTTTAAATTAAATAAAAAATTTGAAACATTATTTTCTTGCCTCAAAAAATTTTAGCAGTACTCATATGAAAAATAATCATTTCCTTCTACTGTAGAACATTTGCTAAAATACAAAGTTTGATAAGTGAAAGTGTAGATATTTTTGAGTGCCTGCTTAGGAAATGCTAAAATGGAAGACTTCATCTCTATGTCATTTTATATTTTCGTTAAATTGTTTTACTGATTCCAAAAAAGAACATTCCAATAGAAAACGTAATGCAAATAAATATTTAAATGTTCATTTTTAAAAAATTTTAATACTATTTTTAAATCATGCAGATACTCTGTATTTGGGCTAACATATGTCTCAGCCCAAAAGCTGGATACCAGCTGGGAAAGAAAGACAGTGTAATTACTCATTTATTGGATATAGTTGGTAAGATACGTTTATATATATTTTTAAATGTCGATATTAAAAGTCTTGATAGTATTTCAACTGTTCATTCAAATGTATCTTGTAAGGTTCCTGAATCTATTCTAATCTTTATATTTTTCTAAATGGAGTTGTACCGTTGTGGATACCAAATAGTATTTTTTTTAGTCCAAAGGGGCTTTGTCCCTGAAGGAATATTGTTTTCGTTTTGCGATTTTGCGTTGGTTCACTATAAATGACCGTTTGATTTTTCAAACTGTTGCCACCAAATGTCAGATCTCTGCATTATGTTTGACGAAATTATTTGTATTGAAAAATCTGCTTAAATGTATGTCTATTTCTCACATTGTGATAAAACAACGGTACACAAAGCCATCGAATTTTGAATCACGTAATCCTCTTACGTATATGGGCATGTGGAAGATCAAATTTGAAATTTGGAATTTGTTTTATTATCGATTTCATATTTGTAAAACTTTTAAAAAAATGTTTCAATACGATTTTGGGGGACAAAAAACTTTTTAAAATTCTTTTGCGACTCATATTGAACGAATTTTATGGTTAAGGCACAGGACTATATTTAGAGGGTAACACACAAAACGTTAAAAAAAATGCCGCTATGGGATGTGATTTTAAAATCTGAAAACTTGCTTTTAAATATTTTTTTTTTTGCTTTACAAGTTTTAAACCCATTCGGCAGTATATCAACACGTTTTTAGTTTTCTGTGTGTGTTACATGTTTTGTATGTACATCTGTCTATCGTTACAAATTTTTTTGAATTGAATAATGTCGAATGAATAATATTATGTTTATTAATTAATGTTAATTTAAGTAACTATTATAACTACAGTACAGTACATCAAAGTCGTTAATCGGACACCCATAATCCGGAATGATCTATATAATCCGGACCTCAAAGCTAAAAACTGCTGCGCAGCGCGTTGACACATGCGCATAGGCGTTTACGCGTGCGCGTAAGACCTTTAACGTATGCGCGCGCAGCAGAATACGTTTTCGCGTGCGCGTTTTATGTATAACAGACGGTATAAGTAAAATTATCTCATTATCTATTTCAGTTAATGTTGATGATTGCGTTGTTCCTTAATCTTCGAATTGGATCCGGCTTATTATTTTTTGCAGACTGTAAGAGCAATACTATAAAAGTAAACTTGAACTTTCGATTATGTCAAATAGAATTTCCGATTCTGGAGCTCCCAAAGGATCGTACAAAACGAAAGTATGTTTCGATGTTCATCAAACAAAAAGTGGAATTGCTGCAAAAGATGGATAAAGACATGAAGAATGTGACAGAGAGGTTAGTGAAAACGAAAAAATTCGATTGACAAGTTAGTCGGTATTCTCGGCACAGCAATTAACGGGACTTGAACAGCGGAACTTTGTAAACTGAACAAGAAATTATGTCTATTTATAGAATTAAGAGAAAAGGTATTGTCACATAAAACGAAGCAACTTAAAAACTTACATTGAAAGAAATGTTTAATAAAGTAAACAAATAAATATTAAGCTTTTTTTTTTGTAAATTTTGATACTCTTTAGATCATAATTGTTCTTTATTTCATAAATTACGGTTTCATATTTTTAATTTTAGAATTTCTGCATGCCATCTTACGAGATTTAAACTGATGATCTATAATCCGAAAAATCGATAATCCGGAATCGCCGAAGTCCCGACGAGTCCGGATTAACGACTTTTGACTGTAATTTCTTTAATATTTTAATAAAGCCCAATCTGAAAGTTTCGTAGCAAATTTTTTCTGAACGTTTTGAAGATAAATAAACCATCATTAAGAATACACGCAGCATACACGGCTCTGCTCGAGTAACATGATTGATCCATGTTCAATAAATGAACTGTGTACAAATAAGAACAATCGTAAATAAAGAATATGTATCCTATCCACCGATTGAGTCAAATCATATACAAGGGAATATGGGAAATTTTAGCATTTTTTGACCTCCTCCCATTCTCTCGAAATAAGTGTTTTTCTCCCTAATTCTTTATTCTTTTATGTTGTTTTCAACAAATATTCTGCATTTCATATTCTATTGTTAGAATAAACGTATGACATTCTTAAATTTAAACTGCACGTTTTCTTCATTTAGGGATCTCTTTCAAGGGGTCCTTCTAAAGACATATTAATGGTGCTTTGCTGTATTTGTATACGAATAAGTCGTTAATAAATAAAAATGTATTTAAGATTTTATTCTTTATACCAATAATTATTTGCTGTTTAACGATTTTATAATTATTTCTTAAGTATGGATTTTTGCGACAAATATTACGTTGGTGCACGAGTAGTATTTACTATCTTTGGATCATTTAATGAACATTGCAGTTATAATGAGTTTAAAAGAATTTCCTGGAATTCTTATTTATACAGTGTCTCAAAAAAGTGATGGGACACTTGTGCTTTACAAAAGGAAACTGTAGTAAAATAAATTTAAAAACAGTAAAAAGTTTTTTGGGTGTGTTTCATACTTAAATTTAGTAACAATTATTACATAACATACATTTTCTCAAAATATTAAAATATTAATTTAATAAAAATGCAATTGTTTAGAACGGAGCAAAAAAATGGCCCACATAAGTGATGGGACACTTACTTTTCCATCAAATATTATCCAAAAAATTTTACTTTTTAAAAGGTTTTAATATTTTGTTGGATTTCCTTTTCCTTTTAAACATGATTTTAATCTTCTTGGGATGGATTCCACTAATTTTTTTGTGATTTCTGGAGTGATCTTACCCCATTCTTCTTGAAGCACCGATTTTAATTGTTGTTTTGAAGAAATGGTGTGTTTGCGAATTCTTGATTCCAATTTTTGCCAAATATTTTCTATGTGATTTAAGTCTGGAGATTGTGGTGGTGTTTTTATTATTTCAGGAGAGTTATACAGCAGCCAGAGTCTAACGTTCAAAGCAGTGTGCTTGGGGTCATTGTCCTGGTAGAATTTAAAATCGTTATGAAGGGTTCAATTTTCGTGCTGAAGATTTCAAATTTTGATTTAAAATGTCAATATACTTGTTGATTCATTAGACTGTCAATAAAATCAAATAAATCATTATATAAATGTCAATAAAAACTGTCAATAAAGATTACCAACTCCAGCAGACGACATACACCCCCATACCATAACTCCTCCACCACCATCTTTTACTGTTGGCACCAAGTTCTGTTTGCGAAACTTCTTTCCCTGGGTTTTCCTGGGTTCCACACCAAGATTCTACCGTCAAGAACCAAATTTATTAAATTTACTATCATCAGTAAATATAACTTCATTCCAGTAATCAGAATTCTTATTTATTTTGGATTTTGCGAAAGCTAGTCTGAGTTTTCTATTCTTTTCACTTACGAAGAATTTTTTCCTGGCTGCTCTACCGTGATATCCAGCAGATCGAATTACTTTTCTAATAGTCTCAGGATTAACAATTACTCCATATAATGCTTGTAAATCAGCAGCAATTTTAGGAGCACTCATTCTTGGATTTTTTTAATATTTCGAACGATAATTCGCTTTATTCCATTGGATAGTTTTGATGGTCGGCCAGGTCTTCTTTTATCCTGAATCATATGGATCTTTTTATGTCGTTTAATGATATTGAAAACTGTTGAATGATTCAAGTTAACTGTTTCAGCAGTTTCTCTAATAGATTTTCCACGTTCAATATGCAAATTAATAACTAATTTTCGAATTTCAGGCAAAGTTTCTTTTCGTTTAGCATTTATGGCTGCACAGATCTAAAAAACACAAAAACTTCCAAAACAAACTGGAGAGAAATACTGCAGACGATTTTATAAATTATTGCCAATTGCTTTTGAGTAAAAATAAATACCCCAAAAGATATTTTTATTGCTACTTCAGACGATTTTTTTGTTGCACATAGTACGTAGTGTGCCATCACTTATGTGAGCCATTTTTCGCTCCGTTCTAAAACAATTGTATTTTTATTAAATTAATATTTTAATATTTTGAGAAAATGTATGTTATGTAATAATTGTTACTAAATTTAAGTAAGAAACACACCCACAAAAAATTTTTACATGCTTTTTTAATTTATTTTATTGCGGTTTCTTTTTGTAAAGCACAAGTGTCTCATCACTTTTTTGAGACACTGTAAGCTGTATTTTAATTTTACCTCTTTGGAAACATTGTGGATAACTATTTTAAGGTTTTAAAGTTAATTTCCTCACACTGACGCATGCTGAAATCTTCTAATGATTTTCATTTTTATTTAAGAAAAATTTCTCCCATGAATTCATCAATTTTTAAAGCTTATTGAACTCTACTTCTTGCAAAGTATTTTTTCATCTTTGTTTTTTGGATATGCCTTTATTTTTCAGTATTGGTTTCTGTATTTCTCATTACTTATATAAATATATATTTCTTTCAGAGTGTTAATTTTTTTCCTATTTGATTAAGGAGAGTTTCTATTATTTTATGTGTTTCTTTCATATTTATTAATTAAAAAAAATATTCTCATTTTTAACATGAAGAGAGAAAATGGATATAAAACTATTAATTTTTGTGTAAACTATGTGCAAACTGTACTTTGTTTTAATACAGGTGCATATGTGGAGCACGATAAAGGTACTGATGCAGATCTAATTTTACATTCCATTCTTGTCGTCGTTGGAAATATTTCTTACTACATAGCGTCTGATTCAGAGCTTTGTATTGAAGTATCTAAATGTAAGCTTAATATTTTATCTTTAAACACAGTTTTATTTTTTTTCAATTTCTAGTGTACTTCTCATATCTTAACATGTTGCTGAAATTAATAATTTATTTTTATAGGTGTAACCCCTCTTCTAGATGATAGCTATAGTTTTGAAATAAGACTGGAATCCGCAAATATTATTCGAAATCTGACAAGATCGCCAAAAACTAGAGCCTATATTCAAGAGCATTCATGTATGAATAAGTAAACATTGCTTACTATTTTTCTTTCAAAAAGTTTTCAATTTTAAGGAATTTATATAAATTAGTAAAATAAGTGCATAATACTAAAATATTCTAAAGCTCACATTGTGAGGCACATATATTTGACGAGCAGTGAAAACAATACTGGGAAAGGTTGGAAAGAAAAGTTGGAAAGGAGTGAGTAAATCGTTTTGCTTGGAACATAAATTTTTTATTTCAATAATTTATGCTTAGACTGCCCTCCACAGTTGCATGTTACAATGAATCTATCTGAACAGATCTCGCAATCCAAATGATTTCTGTCTTCTATGAAGATGGCTGTTTTAGAGAACATGAGTTCCGGCGACATTTAACCCTTTCAGGGGCGCAATGTTATTATTTTTTAAAAGTTATGAAAAAGTAAGCATAATGACATGCAATGGTCCTATAGACAACATAAATGAGTTTAAAAAACATTTTTTCGTCCCCCTTTATGGAAAGGGGACCGGTTTCGTCTTGAAACCCGCGCCCGTCTAGAGCATTTAAGACTAAACATTTGCTTATTTATCTTTACTTTGCTGAAAAATATCTGAACGTAACCCAAATTGCAGATTATACTAGTAAATTACTGAACAACTAATGAAGTAAGTAATATTTGCTAAACACGTATTTTTAATTATAAATAAATTTAAAACAGGAAACAAAAAAGTATGAGACGAAAAGTAACTAATAATGCACTAAATTAAAATAAAATTAATGCACTAAATTAAAATAAATTAATGCACTAAATTAAATTACAAAAAACTATGAAATATTTTAAAAATTATGTTAAAAACTAAGAAAATTATATGTAAAAATAAAATAAATTAAGATGCATACAATTATTTTACTATGAACTAGAAGCATGAGAAAAGCGACCGCTATGAGAAGCATAATAAAAACGCAACTGTGAGTGTTTTTCGGTGTGCTCTATGTCTCAGTAAAAATTAAGAAATGTTTTTCCTCTCTCAAAAGCTCCATAAATCCTCATCTTTGAAGCCACTCAAACGAAGATATGGTGCAATTGTTTACAGCAGTGATCCGAAAGCAATAAACACAACTGCAAAAAATCTCGCGACTGCGTTATCTGATCCTTTCTTGGATGTCTCAGAGGGGCGGTGGTTTCATACTGAATCCGCAACGAAACCATTCAAAATTAAAAGGGTTCCATCACTTTTTTTTTGTGAACTAAGGACATTTCACTACTCATTGATGCCTGCTGATAAAATATATTGTGGAAAAATTAAAAAGTTTTGGGTTTTTTGTTTTTAAAATAGGTCAAAAGGAGCAGTGTGGAAAAGAAGCTAATTTTGAATGATTCGTATCAATTAATGGTTGCATAAAAAGGTTTGGTGCTGCCATCTGTTATCAGCTTTAAAAAGTAATTTAATTTGGTACTTTTCCGTTTCGCCGGCGCAAATCTCGCCAAGCAGACTTTATTGGCGACAACATACAGTATACACATGAAAAATATTAAAAAAAGTGTTAGTTCTAAGAATTCTTTTTTTGAAGGCATAAACATTTTAATATCGCTTAAAAATTTTATAAAAAGCCAATAAATAAAGACAATAAATTTGTAAAAGGGCATTAATTTAAGAATTTACTATGCTTTCATGGTTCAACATCCTGATTCGAGGGTTCATATCACGTGACCCCAAGCGATCTCATCTCACGTAAACTACTCTACAAAAATCTAATGCTCTTAGTAATTATCTACATTAATTTCAAGTTAAATCTTAATTTGGAACACAAGTTTAAATGCAAGAAATATTTCAATTCGTACGAATAGCTTACTCAGAAATTATGTAAAACTGCAGTGCTTTACTTCGCTAATGCATTCTCATTAGACTTTACCTTTTCTATATTTTCGGCCTCGGGTAAGCGCTGTGATTGAATCCTAATTGACTTAACTACCGAAATGGCCTTAGACATAAAACTGAACTATCTGATAAAAATTCTATGTAATTATATGCCAATATTGAAAGAAACAATCAGAAAAACCACCGTCTCTGAAAGGGTTAATGTAAATTTATTTGTGTTCTCAAAACTACCATTCCTGAATTGTTCCCAATAAGTGAAGTTTAGTTATACATGTTGATTATATAAGATTTGAAAGAGAAAATATAATCGTTCTGATTTGCTCAATATCTAGAGATTTGCTTAGTTTCAGTTCCATACTCGGGTAACTAATTAATTTTTCGATCCACATGTTTGCATTCTAGAATATTTTCAAAGGGTAATTTATTTAAAAATTTTCACATGTTTTATTTTCCTTGCTCATTTTTCAAGTACAGGGTAGAAAATCCAGAAATTCTTTCATACACCAATCTTTTTGTCGATCTCAGGACCTTTTTTAGTATGTATATTGAGAAATTATCTTAACCAGAATTAAATCAGATTATCTGGTTACTGAATGTATTTCTGATCTGATGTGACTGTTTTGAACAAACCGGACATCCCTTGCCTAAGCTGGACCTTATCTCACCGATGCTACATGCATGCGACTAGGACACTTCCATTTCAAACAAAAGGGAAGAGGAGGATTTCTCCTTTGCATACAAATACTGAAAGGCATTAAGAGAAGAAGATTACTGCCTCTTTTAACTCAGCAGGTGTAACATATCCAACCGCCAATTATTAAAAGGCCCTGGGTTCGAGTCTCAAACAAAGTAGTCTTTGAATTAAGTTTTTAGCTTATTTCATAAAAAGTTTTATTTATTAAAATTTTACTTCCTCGTACGAAGTAAAGGAATGATTGTAATCTCGGAAAAATTTCGGCTATCATATTTCAACGAAAGTATATACTTCGACCGCTCTCGAATTCATTTGAACTATGTTTTTGCGTGACATCTGTAAGTAGGGAGAGAATAAAGAGCTATTTTTTTCCAAAATGGATTGCGACATGGATTTAAAATGGACTCAGAAAAGATTTTTTTCCCTTAATGTCTGTGGGTACGTATTTATGTATCTCCCACAGCTCAAAAACCGGTAAGAATTCGTTCCAGAAGTTTCTCCATCCGTCCATGGCATATCGCCAATTTTATCGTCAAAAGTCGCCAAATGTGGCAACCCTAAACTTGCTTTGCGGAGAAGCTACCTTACCGAGCCTGGACACTTTTTAACAATATCGTTTAAACGTAACTATCACTGTTTGGTCCATGGCCCGTATGAGTCAGGTAGTATTGGATGGAAAGATATATAATATTAATTTCCGTGTATACATTCTGAAGAGATTGTGGGTGCCCTTGAACATTATCTAAGATTAATAATGCTTTAAACTTTAATTTATTATTTTTACAATATTGCTTAACTGTTGGCATGAAATGAAAAGGGAACTAACTAATCTGTAAATAGTAATGTAGTAACCTAGGAATTTTTATTTCATCTCCAAATGACTGGAAATAATTCTTTAACCTTTCTCTTTCAATGTTCTGGGATTTTTCTGCTTGGTAAAGTATCAGTGGCTTCCATTTTAAATCACCAGCTAGGTTTCCACCAAGAAGCAATAATATTATTTGGATTAATTGAGAATGAAAAATATTTGCAGTTTAATGAACTTTTTGTATGATCAGCAAACTATGATTCTAAAGTAGAAAAACTTCATGAAAATATAAATAACATATTTTACACTCTGAAATCTTATAAATTACTTGCGTAAAGATTCTTTCGGCATACCAAAATTGAAAATTAAAGACATTAGTAAATCTCCAAAGAATTTCATTGACCGATGTTAAAATAGGAAAAATCAACATAGAATTATACTGATTTACTTATTAAACAACCCCTCAATGCAAATTAAAAGGGACGTCAAAAATTTCAATTTTTTAAAAATTAAATATCTGGATCAATTTTTGTCTGTACGGAAGTCAAAATTTTGGTGTTATTTTTTATGAATACAAAATTTCTCTGAATATAAATATGAGGAATAAAGAAAAGTATAAAATGTTAGGTTTCGTAATTTTTACAAAAATTGATTTCTTTCAAAGTGTCAATATATGAATATTTGTGTCATTTAAAACATTTTTGTAACTGGAGATATATGTATGCCACAAATGTTTCCGAAAATAAAGGCCAGGTATGAACTTCTGCGAACACGGTATATATATATGAAAGGAAGTTTGAAGCCTAGTAAAAGTTGTTAAAAACACTTGAAGTATCCTATCTTAATTCCAGAAGCACTTTGCAATTTCACTTATAAAGTAAATTATAAATTATTAATTAAAAAAACCTTTCAAAATAACAGAAAAATTAGAAATAGCTGAACTAGCTGTTTTTTTTGGGGGGGGGGGGCAGGTAAATTTTAAAGAATAAATAGTAATCAGAAAAATGAATAGTTTTGTTAAACTATTTGGGCAGCGTGTTGTTTTATTGAAATGCTATCGTAGACTACACACTTATTTCCCCCAAACTAGAATATTGAACCATCTAAATTGAACTTTTAACTAGTGGCAAGTTTATTGTTTATGAACTTTTCCCAGGTTTTTAATGCATTTTCACTATTTTTTCTTTCTTCATATTTTTTTATATCATGTTTTATGTATGTTTTTTATTCTATGGTCATATATTAATCCCAACTGTGAATTTCATTTCAGTGTTACCTGCATTTATCCAGCTTCTAAGAGAAGATGGGAAAGACTTCAATACTGCGGCTTATGGAATAATAATGAATCTGTTAATCGATCGTACGTCTTGTGAATTGTTTTATAAAGAAGAAGGCGTCACTAGGTAAATTTTATGTAAATTATTGACACACTCACGTAAATATATAAGGTTATGTAATATAGTATACGAGTGTGTTGCAACTCTCCTGGCCGATAATAATCGGCCTCATGGTTAACAGTGCGCAACCCAACACAGACAAACAAAACTACAGTTAAAAGATTAAAATACAGATTAAAAGACAGAAGTACAGTCAAAAACATCAAACAAAAATTCCTAGTATTTTCTATTGCCATTTATAAAGTTCATCAAATCCTTTCCAAATCTAAACTCTTTATTGCGGCTGTAGAATTGTTTTATGATACCATGTTCATCCCTAACATGTCAAAATAATACACAGTCTTCGACGAAATGTCGAGCATTGCCTGCAACACTAAAAAACTACAAAAACTATTATTTCGTAAATTAAACCTTTCCAGCTACGCCGGGAAGTGCACCCGTGTCCAGTAACTGTTTGATTGTAATAAAAATTACATATCATTATCATATTTTTAGAAAACTTCAAACTTCAACAAATAATCTTCCATTTTCACGAAATGTTCCATTTCTCTTTCTAGCAGTCATAATAGAAATCCTTGATTTTACCAATAACAATTCTTTTTTATGCTTGAAATATGGAACGCATACCCGGCATTACCCGTAGCAGTCTCTTTGGCCAGCATGTTGGCCTTCTCATTTCCTATAACACCAATATGGGCTTTCAGCCATTTCATTTTCACTTCATGTATTTTTCTCAACTTTTGCAAGATCTTTTATGTATGAGACCAAAATATTGGTTTTTATCAACATCTGCTAGTGCTTCCAAGCCAGATAATGAGTCTGGATATAAATATACTAATATATGTTTTTACAGTCAGGTTTTCATCAATGCATTTAAAAGCAAATATGATAGCAGCTAATTCAGCTTGAAAAACCGAATTGTAAGTTTCAAGTCTAATTTTGTCATAGTCTATTTCTGTACCAAACAAATAAACCACATATGCTACCAATTCCATTGTCATAACATGAACCGTCAGTAAATATGTCCATTTCTCCTACGCTAACATTTGTTCTCCTATATTCCACTGCTTTTCGTAATGCAAGATGTGTACTATTAGTATTAAAGACAGAAAAACATGTATTATATGCAGCAAAATTTCCGTAAGTAATAAAATCAACATTTTGTGAACGTAATTTAAATTTATAAAGCATATAAGACATTTCCCCCCCCCCTCCTTTCTACGTGTCTTCGTAGTGTACTGTCTGTCTACGAGAACAGCTCCTTCCACAGAGTCTGGCGGGTGGCGGTCGCTATAGCAACAGGGCTAGTAGATTTTTAAAAGGAGCAAACCAAGGGTTGCCAATTCATCTTTAAATGCGAAAAGATGGCAAACTGAAAAGTAAATCATCAAGACACCCCTTCGGAAAATGGGTCAAGGCTCGTTTCTACGGCAACAGACAGCTGCAGACTAACTGGCGACAGTTTTTCTTATGACAGGCAGACTGTAACTTAACTGGATAGTATGTCCAACGCTTAATCGAGAGGCCTGGAGTTCGAATCCCGGCGAGAGCATTGCAGAATTCCTTCCTGACATCGAGGAATTACTCTAGAAGTGGCACCCTAACTAAAATGGTGGTGGACGATAATTCGTCACTTACCAGCATTTTGGCGACTGGGTCCACTTATACCCAGTCGCCCTTTAAAAGGAGGAGTATATAAGGTACTTTCTTTCTCCTTCTCGTACGCTTTCCTGGTGTAACTGGAAGCACGCTAGATTCGTATTCGGAAAGTCCGGTGTCATGGCTAGGATACTGCACATTTTTCATAGTCCAGCACCGATATAAAACTAATGACTCTACAAGTTGAAAAACAGTAAGATTTTGTGAAATCGTTAAGAAACATGCAAATAATGCAACGAATTACGACTCCTGTGCATCGCCTCCTAGGAAACAGTACCGGATTAACCAACAGACTAATTAGAAAAATATCTGGTCCCACAATTTGGAAGGGTCCAGCCCCAGTACAAGAAATAAATGAATAAAAAATTATTAAACAAAAAATAACTAATAAAAATTATTTTTTAAATTAATCTTTAGTAATATAGGATATAAATATAAATAAATGTCGTCGGTAATAATTTTAAAAGTATTAAAATCGGATTCGACGCTACATATTGTACCAGTGTATTGTATGCGTGTATAAGTGCAACAATGTATTGCATATGTAAGTTTGTATAAAGAAAATATGCAAGCTGTGTTATATGTGTTCGCTGTTTGCCTTTTTGGAAGTACAGATGCTATTGTAACAGGTAACGTAAACATTTTTAGCCTAAAACTGACTTAGTCCCGCAAAAGGGAAGATTTCCCTTCTTTCTTTCTTTGGCATCACATGATTTCTCTTGGAAATAAGGTTTTGAAAGAGACCAATATAGTACATTGCCTCGGTTTACATTGACCTCACTTTCGAGGTTATGACGTCATTATATAACACTACTTTTTCATTTGTACAAATTTCTCTAATATTTATTTATTTTATTTATTTATTTACTTAGCTCCCCTTTTCTTGCTAGAAAGAATTATTTGGAAAAAAAGAATAGGCTCACTGGAGACGTCATCTTACGCTTTATAAATGTTATTTCTTTTTCTTTTAAAGACAGATTTGCATTTAGTACTCATTTCATTTTATCAATCTTATTTTGTCTTTCTGATTTATTGTGTAAAATAACAGAGTTTTTTTTTTCTTCCCCTCGCCTGATGTAAATGGATCGATATCCGAATATAAGAACAACAACAACAGAGTTTAAAGACTGACTGTCATTTAAAATTATTTGCAAAGAAATCTGCTGAAAGAAATCCACAAAAGTCCTTGCCCAACCTTTTATTTTCGCAACCATTAATCATACACATGAAGAATTACAAAAACATTTCAAATAATTCAAATGTTTTCAACGTTTTTGTATTTTAAACAATCAATTTTGTAAAAATTATGAAATCTAACTTTTTGTATACATCCCTCTTGTCCTTATATTTAGGAAACATTTTTATGTGACTTTTTTAACGATCATTATAAAAAATTAAATACAAAAGTGTAACTGCCGTATGACAAAAATTGGCCGACATATTTAATTTTAATGTTGGAGATCATATTCAGGGCTCGTACGCAAATTGAAGAGTTAAATGTTTGCATTTCATAAATACTTAAATGTAAAATACCATTTGAGAAAATGTAAGTGGTTAAGTGACGAGCATTACTATACAGATTGTTCGGTGAAAAGTGTTGATCGATATAACTTTATTTCGAAAAGCAGATCGTACAGAATCTTATAGAATTCGTGTTCTAGAGAGCATTTTGGGGCATCAGGGTTAGTAAATAACAAAATAACAATTTCGTAACAAAGTGCTTAAATTAAAAATGGAAAAATATTTCTAGTTTTAAAATTTTGACATGATAAGTAGATTGGTTTTTATAAAAAGGTCATGAGAATAAATAATAACGTAATTTCAGCGTTTGAAACCTAAATACTGCATAAAATTGGTGGTCCTAGCTTCCATAGTTTTTTTATGGCGAATTTTTGAAGGTTTAAAGAATAGGCCAAAAATCGAACGGAAATTCCCCGCAGAAACTCCTTCGCGAATTTTAAAAATCCGAGATAGCCAAAATGTTGCTCTCGAAGAGTAGATCAATTTTAAAAAAAAAAGTTTCTCTCTAGGCCCAATAGGACCCGACTTTCATAGGGTCAAAGTTCACGAATTTGACACATTTCGGCCGCGAGAATTCCCTGTAACCGTTGCACCGAATTTCAAACCGCTCACAGCACTTCCCATTCCCATTCGGACACATGAACAATCCCCCGCAAGCGTTTTCTCGTAGCTCAATTTTTGACCCCGGCGACTGAAATGGGCCAAACTTTGACCCCCGATATCTCGGGCCCTAATTGTCCGATCGACTTGAAATTTGAAACGTGGCCTAACAGGGTTTTTCGGCCTTCCTCCCCATGTCGCAGTCGGCCCTCACCAGGGGGGGTCCCCCCCTTTTCGCCGTAATGCTAAAACAAAAACTCGCGAATATCTCCGAAACGGTTCGATAGATAGAATGCGCAAATTTTGGTGTGAAAGGGCTCCCTATTTTCCTACAAACCCTCCAAATTTCGTGGTCCTAGCTTCAATAGTTTTTTTATGGCGAATTTTTGAAGGTTTAAAGAATAGGCCAAAAATCGCCCAACGGCTAATTGTTGGTGCCGTTGCAGCGGATCGACTCGAGACAGCAAATTAAGGGTTCTCAAAGAGCATATAAAGATTTCAAAGTTGGAATCAGAACCCTAGTCCTCTCTAGGACGTAATGGTTCAGCACAGTTCGAGGAGTAATCGGTTCATCTCCAGATTGGTACGGCAGAACAGTGACTCTACTATGCTTCAACTGACACAGATCGTCAACCAAGGCTTTTCCCAACAGATTTCAACTCGAACCTTTCGCAGAGAATGGCAGAAGATAGAAATGCAGAGTCGGGTGCCTGTGAGAAAACCACTCATTTCTGCCCGTCATATTGAAAGAATTAGTTTGCAGTGATATGTGGAAAGAAGACACTGGACATCTGAGGACTGGAAAGGGTAATGTGGTCGCATGACACACGCTACACCTTATTTGGCACTGATGGAAGACGTCGAATTTGGCGAGAACTCCATGAAGCCATGAATTCATCTTGCCTTACTCGCACTCTGCAAGGGTCTGGTGGGAGTATCATGATATTGTGCATGTTTTGCTAGCATTGAAGTGGTACCCTTGTGTTCCTCGAGGTGAACAAACAGCCATGAGATACAGATCAAGTGCACCGTGCAATGTTGCATTTTTACCTTGACTGCGACGGATACTTCATGGACGATAATGCAACCGTACATCGCGCCAAAATTAGTTCGCTGAACATCAATCTGATTTCCAACACTTTCCCTGGCCATCGCATAGCCCGGATCATAACCCCATAAAAAATGTGGGGGATACGGCAGAAAGACGCATCCGACAGCTCTCTCCTCTTTCATCTAATTTACAAGATCTAAAAAGTTGCATAGCCAATGCATGGTATTCTCTGAATGTAAATGCACTCCAAAAGCCCTTAGACTCGACGCCCAAGCGAATTAAAGTAGTTATCTGCACAAAAGGTGGTCCAATAAAGTATTTATCTTGGGTTTCTAATTCATTGGCCAATGTGTATATATGGACTAGCGAGCTATATAAAATATTGAATGTCGTAATTTTATAAAGTAAGGTGTTTTTTTTTCCCCTAAATTTAAAAAATCTGATGTGTACACCACATGACTTCCTAGTACGAAATATTAAATTATACGCATTTTTCTTGCATTTCATTTAAACTTATTGGATTGAATTAAGTCTACTTCGCCGACAGCGCATAAACCACAATAGAATAAATGCATTCTTTAAAATTCACTCTAGTATTTGTTTACCATAGCGACGCTCTGGCGCTAGATTCACTTAAAAATTATTACTGTAACTAAATTTGTATTACTGTTAGTTTGCGCGCAGTGCTTCAGTACAAATTTTAAATTTTCGCAAAATACAGTTAGTTTTTTCTTTATAAAACAAATTCTTATACACTATTAAGTAAAATAAATCAAGAAAGATAATCATCTATGTTTAAAGATGACACACTGAAAATTTCATATATGTATGACAAAAACAATTTGACTTATTAAAACTCGAAAATCAGCTAAAATTCTCACTTTTTGTGTTGCGCAAAACTGATGACTCCCCTTCAGTATTATATTTCGTTCACATTATAACTCATAATGCACAAAATTTATATCATTTAAAGAACATAATTATCTAATCGTTGCCATATGTTCTATTCAAATACTATAATAAAGCCAGAACGATGTATAAAAGAAATTAAGCAAAAAAAAAAAAAAAAAAAAGGAAACAGATTTTCACAGACGATTGAGTATTTCTCATTTAATTAATTCAGTTTTCACTTCGCGAGAAGGCAAAAATACATAAAAACTCAAAATATCTATATTAGAAATTACGAAGTAAATCTCAAACACTTATTTTTCTCGAAAAAATTCCAGAAAGAATTAAGCATGATTTAATTGGCAATAATAAATGAATGAGTTACCTTTGTTGTTGCGAAGCTAAGTTTCTCTAGATTGGCAACAAATCCACTAGTCTCCTGTTTCAAATGTAAACATCAATGGCCGCCATTAAAAACAGGCTTAGCTGCAATTAAACAACTTTAAAATTGGTGATAATTCTAAAAATATTGCACACAGATTTACTAAAGGCATAAAATCCTTAACCGGAAGATAAAAACAACATAATTCAATCATTTTTAAAGCAAAAAATGTACAATTTGCAAACATATAAGAGTAAAGAAACTGAGATCACTGAGCCGGGTAACAGAGTGGATATATATATAAATATATTTATATACGTTTGGCGCGGCCGATTGCAACCAAAATACGAGGTGCACATCTACATGTTATAGCAGTCCTATATACAAAATTTCAACGTTCTGAGGCTACTCGTTTTTGAGTTATGCGAGATACGTACGTACGTACGCACGTACGTACATGCGTTCGTACAGACGCCACGAAAAATTCTCTTCAGAATTAATTTTAAAGCAGTTTTATAATTTTTTGAAGGAAAAGAGTATTTTATTCTGTCCTTACGTACAGATATCACGCAAAAACATCGTTAAATTGCGTTCGATAGCTGTCAAAATAGATATTTTCGTTGAAATATGCTGCCTGAAACTTTTCGCGATTACAATACTTCCTTTTTACTTCGTACAAGGAAGTAAAAATGCCAAGTCTTTCTCTCATTTTAAATATTTTTGCAATTGGAAGTATATGTCTACGATCAACAGTTACGAAAATAAAATCTGGATAGAGACGTTTGTGTACAGAATGTATATAATATTTAGAAATCCGACGTCACTGTATCTCAGCAAAATTTCCACCATTTATATTTGAAACAAGAAAAGAGTGTAAATTTTAAAAGTCTGCACTTTAGTTTTTAATTTCAGAGACAACTCGTAACTTGGAATATTTAAATACACATACGTCCTCAAATTTGTCGCTAGCATTACTGTTAATAAATCTATCAGAATTTAAAATAAATTGCCCGTATATCCTAGATTTTTATGTTCAATTAAATGTCCTAATCAAAATACTATTTAAATAATTACAGACACTTCGGTTTTATTATTACGCAAACAAAATATATATATACTTTTGGTTTGCATAATTTTCCCCCCACCCAGGTAAGTTTGAGAGAATAAGTTGAAACATATTTAACAATTTTAGTGTATGGGCAATTAAAAAAAAATCGAAATAACTATTTATTAAGCTACTTATTCTTTCGAACAAAAAGAGCTGTTGCCTGGAATCCCATCAGTTTTTGATTTCTCATCGGAAGATTAGGCTCGCCAGCGGTCGAACGGTAAAAGTTGCTGAGCACTTATAGTTCGGTCCGAAGTTCGAATCCTAGCAAATGGGATGGCTGCATGGGCGTTTTCATGGCTTTTCTCATGTGTAACCTGTATACGAGCTAGTTCCCTTAGAGATTCCTCCATGAAGGTATCCTTCTTCTTAGGCAGATAGTCCTAGTGTGTTTTTCTGTAACCTAATAAGTCAAACCAAACCGTCAGACGAAAATTGTCTTACAAGTATAAAGAACCTACAATGCTACTGCATTTTTATTAATAGATAAGCGTTGCTAGTTTATAATGCGGGGTCTTTATTGATTTCTATGCATTAACTTAACAGGAATTTTATATCCTTATTGATTCAAATCCATTTCAAGCAGGTTTAGATACATTTGGTTTTCTGCAAGTCTGTCAGTAAGAAATTCCTTTACATTTATGAATCATTCTGAATTTACATAAATGAATCATGGAATATTCCATTCAGATAGATTTCGCTATGCGCATCACGATGGATTCCAGACTCTCATTAAAAGAAAAGTTTTTTCTTTTGACGTGAATTATTTTTCATTTAAAAAATGTATACATGTGCAAGAAGATTCCAAATGCTAATCTAAATTTTATAATTCGTTCTGTAGCAAAGTAAGGATGTTAAAATAAATATTAACTTTTAATCAAAAAATGAAATCCACCACTAATTCCTCAATAAACTGTTGTGTTGCAAAAGTGGGAAAAAAAAGTCCATGTTCACCCTTTTTAAAATTAGCTGTTTTTTATAGCATTAATTTCGTTTATAACTAATGTTGGATATTATACTTTTAACTGAGCTCGTTGTTCATTGGCTGTGCATTTAGATAATATTGATATGATTTGTATTATTATTAGATTTCGTTTTTCTTTAGTTGCTCTATCTGATGAGCCTACTACTTTTTAAAGTGGTATAAGAGCTTTCTTGGTTGAATATTTCTCTTTTTATTTTTCATTTTTACCACATTCTCAGTTATATTTTCAGCCACATATGTTTTTAATTTTAACATATGTGGTTGTATTTAACATCATTTTTCAGAAATATGGAATGACAAAATGTTTTTGTATATGCACTAAAATAATTTTTAAATTAAACATTTTAACATTTAACTGTATTTACAGGGGTTTTTTTTCATAATTAATATATTGTCTTTTTGAGAATAATTTAGTTATCATGTTTTCTGCCCTTACCTGCTTTCTTATGCGAGATAAATGTTTAAATGTAGTATTGTATAGACAATTAGGCAATTAAAAATTTTTAAAAATATTCACTGTTGTTTTGTCTCTGTCTTTTGTATTCCCTGATAATAAATGAATTTTTTCTCTACAAAAATATTATCTGATGCCAATATATTATGTCTTCAGCGATATTAATATGCAACTCTGTTTTTTAGATTACTACATAAACTTCATCTTTGCGCTGATCGAGATTGGAAAACATGTGCTTTTCTCTGTCAGATACTTTGGAACTACTGTGGTGGTGAAAATGCAGATACGATACCCATTAAAAAAATTGAAGCTCAACATTTGCTAAAGTATTTAACGTATTCACTCAGTAAGTTGTAAAATCTTTCAAAAGTTCCAGTATTTTTAAATGAAATCTTTTCCTTTCTATGGTAAATCTTTTGAAAATACACTGTGCTTCAAAAAACATATATACACCCATGAAACGTTGAGCAGTGCCGTAGCTGGGGAAAGATAGCTGTCCTCAAGCACAGTTATTCAGGGACAACAAATTGGTGTTGCTAAATTTTAGAATGAAATGCTTCTATTCTTGGCAGACAGGAGGGGAAGCGAAACTTTCAGTTGGCCCGGGCCCTGAAAACCCTAGCTAGGACTCTGTGATTGAATTAAAGTCGCGAAACACAGCATAAATAATATATTGTTTAGGAAGCTGTATAAATAATTAGACTTTTGAATGAAAAAACATTTTATTAAAAAATGGTGACCATCTACATCTTTTTGGTAAAACGCTATATATAGTACGGCACAGAATCAATTTTAATAGTTTAAATATCCCTTTACGGAAGGTTCTGAAGGGGGGGGAAAGTTTGCTTCGTTATCAATTAAATCAGCTGCATTCTGAACAAGTTGCATTTGCAACCTTAATATGTCCCATAAGTATTCTGTTCATCTGGAGACCTAGATGGTCATGGAAAGGTGTAAAGGATGACATTGCTCGAAAATGGCTGGTGCTGTATACGCTCGAGTGTTCCCTTAGTGGTAAATGGCAGCTCGACAAGATAAACATTATAATCGGTTGCAGAATGTCGCAGAGGTACATGTGAACTATCAATATTTCTGAAGAAGATTGGCTCATGGCCGACAAGAGGTTAACACATTAGTGACAAGTTAGAGGTTAGTGACGCTGTATGCCGTAACGCACTGAGAAGGCATTAATGTTTGTATAATTTCTGTGCTTCAAGAGGCACTCTAAATACGCAGAGAACTGAAAGTTCTCTCAAGTGGTTAGGTAGTTGGTAGGGGAAGAAGGGTCGGAGATTATCGGATCGCGCGTAGGATATTCTTCATCAAAATTGGGGTGGCACTTAGTGTGTCTTCGGGAAGGCATAAGTGCCAGCTTTGCTTCAAACTTTAACTATCTTAAGTGATAACTACCCATATTTACACCCCGAGTGTGATCGTAGAATACCGAAATCAATTGCTGAATCGGAACGTTGGCCACGTCTCCTTCTCATACGTTTACGGAGATCGTCAACATTGAGAGAGAAGCAGAATTCGTTGCTAAAGACAACAGGCTTCCATTCAAACAATCCAGCCTAGTTATACTCACCACCAATCCGAACGACCTTGTCTGTGTTGGAAAGTCAATTGTAGCCAAATTAATGGACATCGAGACTTGATCTCATTATGTGCCTATGGTCTCCAAATCGTATCCTTTGGTATTACAAGATGCCTAGAAAAGGATGATAGCGAGGCCCTTTGTGTGTCAGCGGCTGTTTTATTATTTACACGATCCTGTCGAATACTTTTATGTCTGGGTCTCCTGAAGCTCAGTACTGTTAACATATGCTTTCGCTGATCCACTGTTGTTGACTTCAGCTAGCATATCTTTCCCATCGCGACAGTGGTAAGCCATTAATACATCAAAGCGAAATAAATAGTCGATAGCAAATACAAAATGATGGAACTAAAATATGGAGGGATGATAGGAACTTATATACATTATATATGCTGGTGATGTCTAATTACTGGTCACGGAGGAGGTGGACCACATATACATAATCTGACATCATTTCAACTGCGCCGGCCGCGACCGTGACCACAAACCTGGCATGTATTATTTGGATCGATTTATTAACGAACTAAGGTGAATGAAACGAATCAACGCAGTAGAGATTTTTTCCGTTCTTATTTTTTTCTCCCTGCTTACTTTCACTGCGTTCAAAAAGTTTAGACTAAGGAGGCAAAATATCACTTTTAAGTAATCCAAGATAATATACTGATCATCATTTGTAATTAACTGCTTGATTACATTTTGTTAAATTTTGTGCATTTGTATATTTATTTTGGGCAAAATACGTGTGTTTAAAAAACTTCATTTAGCTATATACACATAATTTTGACAAAACGTAATAAATAAGTATTATTGTGTAATAATTGTTATTATAATTATTTAATTATTTTTTATTTATTATATAATTTTCATTCCAATTAATTGTAATATAATAATTATTATAATTGATTATAACTGGTTATAATAATTTTACGATAATAAATAATAATTATTATAACAAACAGTATAATTAATAATTATTGTATATCTTTTTTTATCTCTGAATTAAAAGATATGTACATTAGTACATATATGAAAAAAAAATTTTAGTAATTATTGGCAATAACTATACGATAGTAAATGATTATTATAGTTATGTAATTAATTGTAATTATTTATAATTATAATAAATAATTATTATGTTCCTTTTTGATTTGGGGGTCTAAAATCTATATGCATTATATAGACAATTGAATTTGGGGGAGGGGTAACTATTTAGAACAAAAAGATGAAAATAATTCTTGCACAAAAATAATAATATCGTTAAATGTCACGTTAAAAGAGCAATTTGATCAGGGCAGACCCTATTCAAATGGGATTGATACATGTTGACTCATTTTTTTTAAAATACAGAAAGAATATTACCGCTAAAACATATAATTCCATTTTTTTAGGGATCTTGCTTTTTAAAAGTAAGCAATGAAATCTGCATTGTTCAGATAAAATTCATATGTTATGAAAAAAAGAAATTGGTTTCCAGTGTTGCACATCAGTGCGAATCTTCGCGTTTATTTCTGCAAATATGAAATAAAGGCGCGAAAAACTACTGACGATAAGTTTATTTTTATGGTTTATGTGATTACGGAAAAGCTTCAGTGGCTGTCTACCCCACTGATTGGAAACAAATTCACGAAGGCATCCCTTCACTAGTGAAGGACTTTCTAAGGGAAACTTTCTCGTATACAAGTTACACATGGGGAAAATCACAGAAACGTCCATCCAGCCAACCCGTTCTCGGGATTCGAACTTCGGACCCAACTACCAGTGTTCAGCGACTTGACCACTCGGCCGCTCGTGGGCCTCCTATTGATGCCAGAAACTTCCCCCCCCCGTGACACCGGGACTTTCCCTCCTTCAATAACAAATTCCCTAAGCGAAGGGTGAATTCTTTTGTGACCTTCTTACCCTGTGGCACGTAATTAGAAATGATCCTAAGTGTTTTGCCAGAATGCCGGCCAAGGTTACCGTCGAACTGCACTAATGCTGCAAAATATACCCATCTCCTAGGCGTAAAATAAACTGTGTAGCATAATTAACATCGGTGTTCTAATCATTTTAATATCAGGTCCTTAAAAAGTTGAAAAACATAAAAAAATTCATTCATAAACATAAACTACAAAATAAATAAATAAATAATAAAAAATCTGAAAGCTTTCATATTTTACATTACGCCCAAAAGGGCCTTTTTTTAACGTTTTGTGGGTTACCTTTATTTATCAAATATCATATTCTTCATACTTACACTATGCAATTCAGTTCAGCAGCAATACCGCAAAATAATTTTAAAATGAGCATATCTTTAGAATTTCCGATACACAGTCTCTGGCGCTGGAGATAAAAAATTTTCTTTTTCCGTATAGTGTTGCCATTGCTCGCTTTGAAATCGTTGAGTTGTTGATCCAAAATTCGTTAAAGTTTTACAAAATATGAAATAGGTAATAAAACAAATTCCAAATTCCAAATTTGGGCTTCCAGATGCTTATATTCGGAGGGAAACGTACGTTATTCAAATTTCGATGGTTCTAGGTACCGTCTTTTTATCACAATGCGACAAACATACATACATTTATGCAGATTTTTGATTATTTAATTTCTTTAAATATAATACAGGGCTGTAATGTTTGGTGGCAACTGTTTGAAAAGTGAACCAACGCAAAATGCCAAAACGAACTTAGTAGCTCTTCTGGGCTAACGCCCTTTGGGCTAATAAAATAAATAAACCCTGCATAACTCATTTTTTTATAAGTATACATACGTATACCACACATGCACACACACACACACATATATATATATATATGTATTGCAAAGAATGTATATATTAGAATTTATTACATAACATTTTTCATTTTTAGCAAAGAAACAGAACACATCTTACTTATGATGAATTTTTCAATTTTAGCAGAGAAACGGAAAACAACTTAGGATGAATTTTATATGTTTTGGGGAATGAGTTAGTTTTTTTGTAAAAGATTTTTTTAGTCCAAAGGGATTTGAATCCCGAAGGACTATTAGTTTCGTTTTGGCATTTTGCGTCGGACTCATAAATGTCGGTTCACTTTTCAAACTGTTGCCATAAAATGTTAGAGTCCTGCATTATATTTGAAGAAATTAAATAATGAAAATCTGCGTAAATGTATGTATATTTCTCGTATTGTCATAAAACAACGGTACATAGAGTCATCGAATTTTGAATAACGTAATCCGCCAACGAATATGAGCATGTGGAAGACCAAATTTGAAATTTGAAATTTGTTTTATGATCGATTTCCTATTTTTTAAAACTTTGACGAATTTTTGATTAACAAACTCAAGGATTTCAAAGCGAGCAATGGCAACGTTGTGCAGAAAAACATTTTTATCTCCAACGCGTGAGTCTCTGTATCGGAAATTCTAAAGATATGCTCGTTTTAAAACTATTTTGCGATATTGCTGTTGCACTGTATCTTATGGCTTAAGTGCGAGGAACATGATATTTAATAAAGAAAGGTAACACACAAAATGTTAAAAAACGCCCCTTTGGACGTAATTTAAAATCTGAAACATTTTTGAAAATAGCTTTCAATCTTTGATAAAGAATTTTCTGGAATATGAAGTCAGACTGCCTCAGCTTAATCGTAATCTATAGATTTCTCACTATAGATTACGATAATTTAAACTATGTAAATTAACGTTATAAAGATATATGATGCATGAATTTACGTCAAGACGTTCATAAAAAAGATGGCGATGCGCTTTATTTCCTTGAATATGGATACCGAGAGCTCTATAGATATAAAATCTTTTTGTATGGCTTCTGTAGGTTAAAAAAGCCCTCCTTTAAAAATTTAATAAAAATTTTCAAAGTTTTACATGCAAACTTCGAGGAGATATCCCAGAATTAATTTATTGATTTATATCATTTTTCAGTGCTAAGTGATTTTGAAAGACTCACTAGAATTATGTAAAAACAGCAACACAAAGTTGCTCATTTCAGCAATGAATATTTCTGTACCGGATACAACAGTACTACTTATTGATAAACTATTTGTTGTTGACGTCAGAATTTTTTTTTAATTACTAACAACACTACAAATTTAGTAAACCTATAAATAAATATAACAAAATCATACTTTTTTTAATGTGTAAATTTAAATAATTTTAATGAAACATAATTATTGAAAAGATAAAGAAATTTTAAAGCAATCTCATGTAGCTAAAATAGTGTTTCGATTTTGATATTTAATCTATGTTTCTTAAAATTTATTATCATGGCATTCAAGCAAAAGAAAAGCATATGGAATACATTACAAACTTACGCAAGATTTGTATTCGTATCAGAAGCTCGATCTATAAATACGTGAATATCTCATGTAAATATGTCTTTGGGGAAATATTGTGAATTTAATACGTGGCGAATATGGGAATATGCTCATCATTTTAAAAATAATTCTGAAGGAATTCAAATTGTTTTTCAGTATTAGCATTCTGTAAAGCGTTATGATTAAAATGAAAGACCTGCTGAAAAATACAAATGGCTGACAGAAGTTAAAACTATTAACTTGGTCCACAACATCTCTCAGAAATGCCGGACTTTGGCACCTAAAGCGAATACGTGTTACAAAATTAAACTCAATTTTGCTTATAGTCTAACTTTTATGTCTGACGGACGAATTTTCGTTCTGGCTTCTATTACAATCTCAGAATGCTGAATGGTAGAATAAAAAAATGGCTAAAATTAATCGTAGATTTCAACGCGAACTATAGAATAACTTAATTTGCTACTCTTTCTGGAACCACGGACATACAGACTGAATATCTAATTGTTTAGAATTCATATGCTAGCGCTTGACTCGATAAATTTTACAAACCGTAGTTAATATATAATAGCATAATAGAAAATTCATCAGCTCTGAGAATTTCCTCTCACGTTGAATACAGTGAGGGATTAGCTTTAAAAATACTAGTGATGCCAATCCTCATTCTTTAGAATAGATTCTTACTATTATTTAAATACCCATGATTTACATATTCTAGTCAACAATATAAATGTAAGCCAGATTTTAACATAAGATATGTTAATTAAAATATAATTTACAGAATGTTATTTGTGATTTTATAGTTATGAGTCGTGCCTAAGCTAGGTTATATTTTTAAAAGGGTTTTGTTTTAAGTTAAAGATTATTGCCAACAAAAGCACCATTTTTATACAGTGTCGCTAAACTGAGAGATCCAAATTGTACTGAGGGGCCGAATGAATTAAATCGTTGAGTACTGGCAGTTAGTTTCGTGTTCGGCTCTTGGCGAATGTGTGGTTGCAAGGACTTTCTTCACGTGTAACGTGAATGTGAGCCAATTTTTTGCAGTACGTCCTCTACCAATGTCAGTAATGAGTTGTGGCTGATTTATCGTTCGAAAAGCGATGCTGTCAGCTCTAATTGAAATACTGAATGCCTTTATCGGCGTATGACTTTTTTTAAGATCGTGGCGTCGTTAAATCCGGAGGAGAAGAGAAAAGGCGGTAGCTATTTGTTTCCAGGAGAAAACACTTTGCAGCGATGCTGAGCCCGCAGTCGATCTTGAGTGATGGTCAGAGGGAGAGTCAATTCGGAGTGTGCAGAATTGCTGATCCTGTATGAATAGAGTAAGTCCTATAGGAACGAGTCCCTGCTTGCTTTGCCGTAATCAATCAATTAATTAATCAATCAAAATATACTACATTGATTAAAAGGTAAAACCTCCTCTTTCCTTTGACTCATTGAATGTGCGTATTGTTGTCAGCAAAATTAATGTTGCCAATAATTTCACTTCCTGAAGAGGAAAATGCTTATTTATCTGTTGATAAAGTTTAATTTTTTTCCTAGGAATGCAGGTTATCATCGAATATAAGTAGTAAATGGATATTTGTTTTTAAATTTTAATTAAATAATAAATTAAGTATTTGGGAGAGTTTAGTATATAGATGTCAATGAGAAGTTTTTGTAATATTATTAAAAGACACAACTTACTAATGCGTTATTTTTGTAACACATTTGATTTTAATTATTGTAAAATTTTGTAATTGATAAAAGGTGGCTAATGCTTCATAATTCACTATTAATTGACTTCTTTTGTATTTAAACTTATCTAAAATTATATTTACCCATGTAAAACGTTTCCTCTTCCATCTCCCATTGAAGTACTTTTTATGTTTGCAATTGGCTTTACTTTAAAAAGTGGATTCAGATACCTAAAATTCATATTTATGTTGTACATTCCAATCACTGATTTATTAATATACAAAAATATATGAAGTTTTAACTTTGAACGATCGCTTTGAAAATTAAAGAAGGATGGATTGTTGAAAATCAAATGGTATAAAATATTATTCATTGATTAATCTATTTCTCGATGTTTTCATTGGTGTAATTAATTTAGCTATAATTTCGATTATAAAACGAATGAGTAAAAATCATGGCATAAATGGTTATTAAAAATGAATAAAAAAATGGGGTCCTAAACCATTATCCCATATTATCGATATCTGTCATAATAATCTGTGACAAAAATTTATGCTATTGTTGCTTCTTTTGTGTATTTTGCAATTTAATCTCTAATTATCGGCCAGTTCTTAATAACATGTTCCTTTCTTACAGGAGAAAACAGTGGTAGCACGAATAGAAATACTGATCAAGTATGGAGCAATGAATTCTGTCCAGTTGCGCAAAAATTGTTGGAACTTCTGAAAACTAAAAAATGTTGTATATCTTGATAAATGCTATGAATATTTATTTTTATTGAATTATTTAACGTTGTTTTTAACTTACTAGATTTTATATTTCATATAGCTTTTAAAATTTTGTAGTCTAATTTAATCTTTTAGGAACTGGAAAGATATTACTGACTTTTTGTATAAGTTTGTAAATTTGTCCTTAAAAATTTGTATGATGTTATATGCTTGTATAAAAAATAAAATAGCTTTGTCGTATTTTTTCTGGTATTTTTAAATTTATGATAACAAATGTAAATCTTATGATTGATATCTGAAATCAAGGAAATTGGTAGTCCAATATGATGTATAAGCATTAGTCACCCTCTTATTACATACAAAATTTGAAAATAATTAAAATCAAATGTGTTAAGAAATGGCGCATTAATGAGATGTCTTTTAATAGCAATGCAGAAACTTCCCACTGACTTCTGTAAACTGTATAGTCCTAAATACTTAATTTATAAAAACAAAATGTTGTAGAATTTAAGTATGCAGTATAACTAGAACTAAAACTCATTTGGTTATTCGAAAAAGTCCGGATAGCTGGATTATTTTTTTCTTTCGCTCAAATACATTGGTGCCTCACATATAAACTTATATTTTTCGAGTAACATACGTTATGCAGGATGCTGTTTGTCACAGGTTGACATGAACATAATTTTAATCCGTTCTCCAACCTTGTCCAAAGTTACGAAAAGCGTCAACCAAAAGCATTATCAGTGTTGGAAACACTAGAAATTTATTAGTTTGTTATTTATAAAAATGCTTACGAACACTGTGTTTGTACAGCTGCCTTGTTGGTATAGTGGTAGGGAAATCGGCTGCGATAGCTTTGGGCTCGGTTTCGAATCCTAAAGAAGCGTGCATATTTGCGGTTATCTCCCCCCCCCTCTTGTGTGTAATACTGGCCTATGTCTGCAACAATGCACCCTGGGCAGCGTCGTTCTCTATAATAAAATGATTAAACGACCGATGAGTTCTGTATTTCCAACTGATGCTTTAAAGCAAATATTGGACTTAAAAAAAAATTAAAAAAAAAAAACCTATGTATGAACACATTCTTGCAATTTTCTCAATTTATTTTTAATCTGAATTTTTCCAATCTTCCGTTAAAGATTATAAATGCCGTTAAAGATGCTATATGAGACACATGTGAGTGTTATTTAAGAATCAATTGTCCTTTTACCTGCTCGCAAAATTATATTTTGTTTTATGGAAGATCCACCTTTAAATACGCTGTCTAAAGTGATTTAAAAATTGTTTAAAAAACCCTTCCTCATTTCTTGAAGATGGTTTTGAAACAGAGCATTGAATTGTCAGGAAAAATATGCCATTCTCTTCATTTCAACTTACTGCTTGGCTATATTCTGAACTTCCTCCTATTTCTAACCAAACATACTTTTACTTTAAAAATGTAGAATCTATCAGCTTCATTTATTTGAAATTGGCTTAGATTTTTAGTCCAAAGGGGCTTTGTCCCTGAAGGACTATTGTTCTCGTTTTGCGATTTTGCGTTGAATCACTATAAATGTCCGTTTCACTTTTCAAACTGTTGCCACCAAATGTTAGAGCTTTGCATTATGTTTGACGAAATTAAATAATGAAAAATCTGCATAAATATTAATGCATATGTGTATTTCTCGCATTCACACATTCATCTAAATTAATTTAATAATTTCATAAAGTTTACCTGCTGCACTTTATTATGTTTTGGTGCTGTTTAAATCAAGAAAATTAAAAAACTTGTCAATAAGTTACAGATTTTCGAATAACTGGATATCTGTTGTATTATATCCTTGAGTTTTCCATTGTAGAAGATGCAGCAGAGTTATGAATTTTAATCTGCAATTTTGTGAGTAGTGAAAATGAGAGTAAACACTCAGAGATTTCCTTTTAAACAAATTCCTGACTGTCTATCCTGATTATCCAACTAAACATGCATAAAGACACATAACCAAACAATAAGGATAATTCAGAAACGGCTCCGTGAAACCGTTATTTAATGCATGGGTATTGACATAAATTGACTTTTTATAGTTTTAAAGTAAATTTAAATAAGGCTTAAAATAAGGGTTAACTAAAACAATTATAAAATTTATATATATTTTCAGTGATTCAGGAAAAACAGATCTTATCCCATTTCTATGTCGATAAATTTTATGACAACTTATCAAGCGCCATGAAAATCCCTGTGGTATCATTAAATTTATATTGTTACGGATTTTGTACTTGGATAAGTAATTTTCGTAAAATTGTAAGTAAAAGTTTTTTTTTTTTTTTTTTTTTTTTTTTTTTTTTTTGTGACATAAAAAGTCTAGCTGACAACGGTTTTGGCGACTTATTTTATCGCCAAATTTGGTAAGAAATGGCCAGAAGTCGCTAAATTTGTTCACCATTTGGCGACATTAGATTCCAGTCCCTGTTTCACCGTAATATATTGAAATTGAATAAATGTAATTGACCACTATAAAAGATGTAACCGTAATTCTACCTTCGTATTGCTTTCCAGTACTTTCGAGAAGCAGGAAGTATATGAAACATGTCGGCGATCGCGTGAAAACTAGTTAAGGCTTAAGACAGAGCATCTGCTCTCAATTGCTCAGTTGTTGCGAGCTGTTAGCTCCGCATGAACTGAGATATCCGAATTAGTTTCTCTTTACATGCCCTTTGCATTGCGTTGTGTTTAACGTTCTTAGTAGTTTGATGTGTAACTACTGATTGTACTCTGGGATGCTGTGAACTTCTGTACGAGTATATTTCTGTGGAAAATTCCAGAAGTTATTTATTTTGATAAAATAAATTTTTATTATCATCGGAACTGTGTGTCTTCATTCTATTACGAACTCGTACACACGCAATGATATTTAGTTTATTTACCCTTATGCGTTTAAAATATTTGTAAAGAAAACGGGTGAAGGCAAAAGAATGGGACTGATAATGTCCTAAGTGAAATGACTTAAAATTGAAGCTAATGGAGGTTTCAAAAGCTAGAAAAATTGCCATTTGGCTAATACCAGAGAACGAAAAAATTATGTTATATCCAGATGTGCAAATTAAACTTTCGTAAACTATTACATTCGACATGGTGCACGACATGGTGCATGGTAAAATGTAAAAGATGAAAGAAATTGTACTGCCTATGCCATGAATTTGGTAAAACTTTCCCTGAAAACGAAATGTTCAACACATATCTTAATTAATAGCAAAGACTTTTGTGCTTCAGAACAATGGAAACTGCGAAGCCTTTTGATCAAACATTCAATTGAGTTCGATAGAGGAATATTTGTAAAAAAGGATTTTGTGTCGAAAGAGACCGTGATAGCAGTGTTATAAATTTGGGAGTAAAGTTTATTATTGAATTCAAAAAAATCTTTCACTTGTTGGCATTCAGAACATGAAATTTTCGAAGACGAAATTTATTGCTCACACCAGTTTACCTCTAATTTGCATGTTTTGCAAACTTCCAAAATTTTTGCTTCACCACAGCCTCGTTGATACCCTGTAACTTCTGCTTTTTTTCTGGTAGAAACATGGAAAATCCAAGCTCTCCTTTTTTTACTTCCTTGTACGAAGTAGTTTACAATACTTATTTTAAAATTAAGTAAAGGAAGTATTGTAATCGCGAAAAGTTTCAGGCAACATATTTCAACGAAAATATCCATTTTGACCGCTATCGAATGCAATTTAACGATGTTTTTGCGTGATATCTCTGCGTAAGGGCAGAATAAAAGACACATTTCCTCCAAAAAAATTATAAAACTGCTTTAAAATTAATTCTGAAGAGAATTTTTCGTGGCGTCCGTACGAACGTATGTACGTACGTGCGTACGTACGTACGTACGTATCTCGCATAACTCCAAAACGAGTAGCCACAGAACGTTGAAATTTTGTATATAGGACTGCTATAACATGTAGATGTGCACCTCGTATTTTGGTTGCAATCGGCCGCACCAAACGTATATAAATATATTTATATATATATCCACTCTGTTACCTGGCTCAGTGATCTCAGTATCTTTACTCTTATATGTTTGTAAATTGTACATTTTTTGCTTTAAAAATGATTGAATTATGTTGTTTTTATCTTCCGGTTAAGGTTTTTATGCCTTTCGTAATTCTGGAAGCAATATTTGTACAATTATCAACAATTTAAAAGCTGTTTAAATGCGGTTAAGTTTTAAATAACATGGCGGACATATTTGTTTACATTTGAAACAGCAGAATAGTAGATTTGTTGCCAATTTAGAGAGACTAAGCTTCGAACACAAAAATAACGCCTTCATTTATTATTGCGAATGAAATCATGCTTAATCCTTTCTGGAATTTTTTCAAGGAAATAAGTGTTTAAAATTTACTTCGTAATTTTTAATGCAGATATTTTGAGTTTTTATGTATTTTTGGCTTGTCGCGAAGTGAGAGCTGAATTAATTGAATGAGAAATATTAAATCGTCTGTGAAAAACTGTTTCTTTTATGTTTTGTTTTCTTAATTTCTTTCATGTTTTAGCTTTATTATAGTATTTTAATAGAACATGTGAAACGATAATTCTTCAAATGATATAAATTTTGTGCATTCAGAGTGTCGTTATAGTAAACAAATATAGTGAATTTTAAAGAGTGCATTTATTCTATTGTGGTTTATGCGCTGTCGACGAAGTAGATTTAATTCAATCCAATCAATTTAAATGAAATTCAAGAAAAAATGCATATAATTTAATATTCAGTACAAGGAAGTCATGTGGTGTACACATCAGATTTTTTGGATTAAGAACTCTGAGTGTAGTAACAGAACTTCCACTGCAATATCAACAATGCTTTGATAAGACTAAATCGAATTTCAAAGGAAAATAGAATCATCCTTAAAATTTTGTATTTATTTCTGTTAATTTTTACATTGAATTTCTTGATTTGTTTGCTAATCAACGAAATTATTAAATGAAGGCCTTGATATGTAAACAATTATCAATTAGCTAATCGTGGTTAAAATGCTTCAAATCGTTTGTTAGAAATGCGAATCATTTTGAAATGGCTTATTTACTGATGATAAGCACTGTACTGTTTCATTGGGGATGATAAAATTATGTATCTTATGCTTCGAGAGTTAGCAGCAGCTCCACATTTTGCCCAAGATCTCGTTCTCTTCGAGTATTAACGTATTAATGACATTAATAGAAGTAACCAAATTTTCAGAAAGTGCCAAAC